TGGGAAGTGGCCCCTTCGTGTGCACCTGTGGCTCCGAGGTTGGGGTCTGTTTTGAGAAGGGCAGTAATGGCCAGGAGTATGACAGAGGCCCAGTAGCCCACTTCCTCCAGCATCGCGGGGCTGGCACAGCAGCCGCTGGCCTCAGCAAAAAAACTTAGCACCACAGGACTGGCTGGAGAAGGACGCGTCTGAACAGGAAGGCTTCAGGTGTGCCACACACATGTCTGAGCGCTGGGTGGCCTTGTCAGCAGCTAGGGAGAAGCTTTTAAACAAACAGAAAACCAGAACCTGCACCGAACCCCGGAACTGTGCCCATTCGCAGCTGGTAGAGTGTCTTCTGGGAGGGAGGAGAGTGGGCCACCACACCCATGTGTGTGCCTAGCCAGCGGTTTCTCTCCATAAACAGCTTCCATTCTCACTGTTGGCAGGATGCTGGTGGTCCTGGCTGGATTATTCCAGTTTCTTCTCACCAGTGTCCATTTTTGGTCCTGTGTGTGCCTCATCTCTTTACCTCATCCGTTGCCGTTCTGATTGAAAGCTGGGTCCAACCAGGTTCTAGAACATTCTGTGATGGGCCGCAATGCCTCCCTCAGAACTGGGTGCCACCTGTGGGGCGTGGGGGTGGGGGGAGCATTTCCTCCTCAGATCCCCTCCCCCGCCCTGTAGGGACACCCCGTGGAGGGGGAGGGGTGCGGAGTACAGGGCTTTACTCAACACCCAGCACGGCCTTTGGCGCCTGAGGCCCGTGCCACAAAACATGGTCGGCTGCCAGGCCTCCCGGACCGTCAGCCTTGGCTCCATTACCCTCTCCTGGTGTGACCTTGAGCGGCTTTCCCAACTGGTCTCTCCGTTTACCGCCTGAGAAAGCAGGGGTCATCAGCTGTGGCGACAATTCAGAGTCAGAGCCCGGGGGTGCCTGGCGCGCGGCCTCTGGCCTCGCGGGGAGACCTGCTTGCCACCCCACGATGCGGGCAGCGCTCCCTTTCCCCAAGCCGCCTTGGCACGCCGGTGCAGAGTTCATGTTCAGGCTGCTTTGGCAACCAGGTTTCCTCAGGCGCGGCCTGGGACACTTGGGCGGGCGTCTGGCGCCCCCTAGCGGGGTCCGCCCTCACAGCCCTAGAACGCCGAGCTGGGGCGGTCCTGGGGCGGCCCCACTGACCCCACTGACCCCACTGACCCCACTGGCCCCATTGGCCCCACTGGCCCCACTGGCCCCACTGGCCCCAGGCCAACCCCAGGTCCGGCCTGGCTGTGGCCTTTCAGTCCATGATCCGTTACGAGGGTGGCGGTGTGGTCCAGGTTTCCCTAATTGGCCGTGAGGGAATCTGCAGTAGCCTTGGTTTTCCTCATCCAGAAAGTGGGGGCAATAATGCCCTGTCCCATGGTGATGGTGTTATAGGGATTCCCTCTGGGAAGCCTCTACCTCAAAATGACCTTGTCAGAGATCAACTCAGCAAACACTGTTAATCCCATACCTTCCCTCCCCTAGAGAACCTTCTAGAATCTGAACTGCTTACTGACATGAGTCAGGAAGTGAGAAGGTGGGGGAAGGTGGCAGTGGAGAACGGCCCTTGGTTCTGTTTGGGGACACAGCGGAGGCCGGGGCGTTCCCTCAGGAGTCAGCAGGGCAGTGAAGTGGGATTCTCTGCAGACACTGGGTGGTATGTGACAATCCAAGGTGGGCAGCGAGGCCAGAAGGAGAGAGGCTCTGCTGAGCCCCCCAGGTACTGCCCACCCCACAGGCCCACAGTGAGCCAGACAGCAAGCAGCTCCCCTTCCCCAGCCAGGCAGTGGCTGCCTCCAGGGTGGGCTAGAGGCCCAGGGCTCAGTGGGACCATCAGCCCATCCATCCAGCTGGCCTGGGTACCACGGGCTCACCTTGCACCCAGGGAGGACACTGGCCTTTGTGGGTCTGGAGGCCCCAGTCCCGGCCTTGGCGGAGTAGAAAAGCAGCTAAGGGCTTCCCGGACGCTGCAGCCTCTTCCCTGGACACCCCTGTCCGCGCCCTCTTCCCCGGACACCCCTGTCCGCGCCCTCTTCCCTGGACACCCCTGTCTTTCTACATTCACCCCAGGGTCAGCACTCTCAGAAACCAAGCCTGGTGAACTCTGTCTTCAGACTCAGGCTCACGTGCAGTGTGGCCAGGTCCCTGACCAACCAGCTAGGCACGAGGAAGCCAGTGCGTGGGAGCCAGAGAAATGAGCCTGAGGGGCTTAGGGCATCCTGCCGAGGTCAGGGTATTGCTTTGGGCCCAACACTGTGCTTGAGCCCTGCAACCACGTGGGGAGATGCTAAGGAGCTCCTGACTCCTGGCTTTGGCCTGTCCAGCCCAGCTGTAAGGGCCCTTGGAGGAGTCAACAAGCAGGTGGAAGATCTGACCTTGTCTCACATTCTTTCCTTCTGTCACAGTCTCTGGTCCCCCCAACTTTCTCTTTTACTCTCTCCTGCAGGCATGTTTGTCACCTCCCCTCGGTTGTGACTAGTCCCCTGAGGCACTCAGCAAGCCCCTCCCCTCCTGGGCTTGAGGTGAGAGGGGAGGCGCAGACCCCGGGTGCCTCTGCTCCTGGCCCCTCGTTGTTCCCAAGGAAGTCCAAGCCTGGCCCTGGGTTCCTAGGTGGCCACCTTGGAGCCCTGCGCTGGGAGGAGGGGTGGTCTGGGGGTGGGGGGAACAAGTGTGGTGAGGTTCGCTCTGCTGTGTGTGTCCCTTCTGCATCTCGCCAAGGACACAGGGAGGAGCGACCATCCCACCTCTGGTCCAGGCCACCACCTGCAGGGGTCAGGTGTGCAGCTGTGCTTCAGGTGCGCTCAGTCCACTTCTCCAGAGAGCACAGGAGGAGCAGAAGGAGGTGCTCAGCGAGGGAGGAGGTGACCCTGGCTGCACGCCATGGCTACCAGATTCCCCCTCCACACACACACTCCTGGGCCTGGGCTGCAGACTCCCTGCTGTGCCAGGACACAGGCCAAGTGGGTCCACTGAGAACAGGATGTCAACATTGTAGCCAGGGACCTGCAGGTGAGATTGCGGAGAAGCCCAAAGGCTGAGGGAGGAGCCGTGGTCACAAAGCTCCTCCCTCTGTACCCAGACCTGTGCCCATCCCTGACTCTCGTGGGCATTTGGGGAGTAAGCAGGTGGAAGATCTCTTTCTCTCACTTTCTCTCACTCTTTTTATATTTGTCTTTTTGCCTTTCAAATAAAAGAAAATCAGTTTTACACAAATCTAAAATCTCTTCGGGGGTGATGTGATCTGGTTTCCCTCTCTGGGCAAGGGGCACGCTGCACACATGCTATGGTTTAAAATCCTGGTGGAAGTCTGGCAAGACAGCAGAGTAAGTTTTCCAGAGCCTCTTGCCTGAAGCAAACTCACAGTTATCAAAATACAGTACCAGGAGATGGCGTTGGGGCAAAGCAGGTAAAGCTGCTGGCTGCAATGGTTCAAGTCCCAGCTATTTCACTTCCGACCCAGCTCCTTGCTAATGTGCCTGGAAAAGCAGCAGAGATGGCCCAGGTACTGGGGTTCCTGTCACATATGTGGGAGACTCAGAGGAAGCTCCTGTTTCCTGGCTTTGGCCCAGCTCAGCCCCAGTCACTATGATCATCTAGGGAGTGAACCAGCAGATGGTCTTTTGGGCCCAGTGCGGTAGCCTAGCAGCTAAAGTCCTTGTCTTGCATGCACTGGGATCCCATATGAGTGGCGATTCTAATCCCAGCAGTCCTGCTCCCCGTCCAGCTCCCTCAGGCTTGTGGCCAGAGAAAGCAGTTGAGGATGGCCCAAAGCCTTGGGACCCTGCACCCATGTGGGAAACCCGGAAGAAGCTCTGGACTCCTGGCTTCGGATTGGCTCAGTTCCGACCATTGTGGCCACTTGGGGAGTGAACCATCGGACAGAAGATATTCCTCTTTGTCCTCTTCTCTGTATATCTGGCTTTTCAATAAAAATAAATAAATCTTTAAAAATAATGCAAATTAGGTTGGCAGCAGAAAATAATATTTAAAAGAAGCAAAGATCCTCTGCAAACAGGAGGGTGTGGCCCAGTTCCCTCCCTCCTACTGACCCCAACCCAATTTTAATGTCTATTCTGACATTTTTCTCAAATCTGCTTCTCCAATCTAACTGCTCCTGTCATCTCTTGTCCCAGCCAGGACACGGCAGTCACTTCCCTTCCAGCTGACCCTGCCTACCTGCTGCCATACTAGCCCTGGGCACCTCTGTGAGGGTTCTCCAGCTCATGGGCAAAGTCCCAACTGTGTGCCTGGCCCATGATGGTCACAGGATGGGCGGGTGGTAGGCAGTGCTGGCAGGTGCATCAGGGATGGTGGGAACAGTGTAAATCCGAGGGAAAGATGGCGCCGTCTGCACAACGCCAGCTCTGACTTGGGCTCACGCCTGTTGGCTACCATTGAGACGCATTTGAGCCCAGCGGGCACTGAGCATCGTCAGGCTGATACTGAGCCTGGGCTGCCACTGGGCGCGTTCAACCCTCTCCTGCCGTGGACGGCTGACGAGGTGTGTGGACAGTGGCTTGGGGTGGGCATGATGGGAACCCTCCCCAGCAGCACAAGCTTCAACATATCCCTACAGTGGAGGTATTGGGACACCCCAAGGCGAGCAGAGCGTGGAGGGCTGTGGCATGCACGGGTCGCTGGCTTCCCACACCTCCTCCCAGCCTCCTTTGGGTACGCTGCTTTCTCCCAAACCCAGGACTTTGTAAAGCAGGTCCCTGTCGAACTGGGGGTAAACCAACCTCAGGGGTTGAGCCGGAGTGGGATGGCCCCTCCGGAGGACTTGAACTGCCCACGGCAGCAGGGTTTCCCACTAAGGGGATCATATCTGGGCAGGAAAACAGTTCTCCCATGTATTGCCCATCTCCATGGCATCAGGCCCAGCCCCATCAAGGGTGCTCTGGAGCCCAGAGCAGTGCCACCTGCTCCCCTACACTCTGCTCCTCAGAAGCCAGGCCTTCATCACCATCCTCTTTCTCCAGGTGACCGGTGAATCAGCATGGCTGAGCCCCGCCAGGAGTTGGACATGACAGAAGACCAGGCTGGAGATTACGCCCTGCACCAGGACCAGGAGGGCGACACGGACCCCGGCCTGAAAGGTTAGTGGATGGCCACACACACAGAGGGCCAAGAAGCACAGGGGGCACAGCCGAGTGCCCCTCTGGCAAGGACTGGTGGGAAGGGTCCTAGCCAGGTGTGTGTGTCCAGGAGTTTTCCAAGTCACCAAGTCTGGTTGCCAAGAAAGTGAGGCTCCCTGAATTGGAAGGGGCTGAGGTCACTCCACACAGAAGGTGATGTGACATTATCATGGCTGGGAGAGTCTTCCCCATAGCCAGGGTGGCAGGGTCTGGTCCCTCTGTATGGAGTGCCCCGAGTCCTTGGTCACAGCTGTGGTGCTCCCCAGCACGCCCTGCACACAGCTCCAGTGCTTTTATCTCGTCCTCCACCAGGCTCATCTGGCCCCTATTTGGAAAAAGCCGTGGGCTCTGGGATGCCTAGCCCTGCTACCTATACACACCGTGCCAACGCTGGGCCTGGTTGGAAGGCCATTGTGCCACCAGCACTCCCGCTCTGACCCCCGTGTTCAGAGGTCTGGACTCAGTTGATCTGCAGTGCTGGATGGCACCACAAGGCACTCTTATCCCTCCCTGCACTGCCCCAGGCTTCCTCCTCTAAGGAGAGGTACAGGGACTATCATTTCCTTGCTCTCCTTTCCACTTGAGATAGCGAAGCACCTCACAGCCTGGGGCTGGGGACTGCTGGGACTCCATGTGGGAGCTGACCTCTGCTGGAGGCATCTACCTGGGAGGGTCCCTGCAAGATGTGAGGTTCCCAGTGACTCCTGGGCATGGGAGGTAGGGGCCCCCAGCTACATTTCGGCAGGAGATATCTCAGGTCCTGGCGGGGAACCTGTGCCAGTCTGTGGAGACACAAAGGTGCTGGGGTAAAAGCAGCTTTCCGATTTGAGGCGGAGAAGGCGGTCTCCATGAGGGCAGGGCACAGGAGGTGCAGGTGCAGGTTCCAGCCAAGCTCTCTGCCTGTGGCAGTGTTCAGAGCCAGAGCGGGAGGTGGATGGTCGGGGCAGGAGGGAGAGGGCTTTGGCCTCTTTTGGGTTGAGCCACACTCCTCACAGCGGGGCTACCAGGGCTAGGCAATCCATGACCTCCATTTGCCCACCTCCCACCCCAGCCCCCTCTTTTCCTTTCCCCGGCACTCAGGGTGTTAGGTGAAGGAAACGGGCTGCCATGACTGCCCTTGGCTGCTGCCCTCCCCAGAAGCTCATTGCTGCTGGGGTGGGGTGGGCGGGGAGATCAAGGAATTCCCTCTAAGTCTGTCTGCAATGAGCTGAGGGGCAGCCTCTTCCCTCCTGTGGGTGTCTGAACCTGGGGAACAAAGCTAAAAGCACCCTGCTTGAAAAGGCAGCAAGCACCTGGGAGCACTTGGCTGGCGGCCAGGGGTTATCACCACCACGGCTCCCCAGGCCCGCAATGGCAGAGGACCTGGCTGGCACACCTCCACTCTTCCCTGTCACTGGCTCTCACAGGTAGAATCCGGGTTCCAATGCAAAATACCAAATTCTACACCCTAAAAAAAAATTTAGAGGCAGGACAACCTGGTTAAAAAGGCACTTTAAGTGTGTTATATGCTGAGACAAATTCACCAGAATCATTCCAGGAGCTTCCAGTACACTGGACATGGAGTGTTCTCTTATATATACTAACTTTACAATCTTTCTGCAAATCTCAAACTATTCTAGACTAGCAAATTCACTTAAAATAATGCTTCCCGTGGTCTTAGCATGATGGCTCAGTGGCTTAACCCTCACCTTGTAAGCACTGGGATCCCAAATGGGCACTGGTTCATGTCCCAGCTGCTCCAGTTCCCATCCAGCTCTCTGCTTATGGCCTGGGAAAGCAGTAGATGATGGGCCAAAGCCTTCGGACTCTGCAACCACGAGGAAGACCCAGATGAAGCTTCTGGCTCCTGGCTTCAGATCGACTCAGCTCTGTCTGGCCGTTGTGGCCATTTTTGTGAAGAAGAAAGAACAAACTCATTCAGTTGCTTGGGCCTCCAAGCTGCTCATAGTGTGCTTCTCTGAGCCACTTCCCTTCCTTAACCTGAAACATCATGCCCAGGAGGAGGCCGGAGTATAAGACGCCCAGAGTGCCGTGCCAAGTGTGATCCCAGCTCGGCTTCCGGCTCCACTTCCTGCCAGTGCAGACTCTGGGAGGCAGTGACCATGGCTCAGGGAATAGGATTCCTGCCACCCACACGGGACAGCTGTGTTGAATTCCCAGCTCCGGCCCTCAGTCCTGGCCATCGCAGGCATGTCAGGAATGCATCAGCAGATGGGACTTCTCTCTCTTTCTCTGTCCCTCAGATAAACCAACTTTAAAGGGAAGTTTGTACGTGAAATCAAGGCTGGGCGTTTGACACAGTGGCTGAGGCACTCATTTCCTGGTCAAGTGCTTTGGTTCAAGTTCTGGCTCCTCTCCCAATCCCAGCTTCCTAATTGTGGGTCCTGGGAGACAGAGGATGATAGCTCAAGCCCTGCCATCCACGTGGTTTCCTGGCATTTGGGGAGTGAACTGGTGGATGAAAGGTGTATGTGTGTGTGTGAACATATATGTCTACCTTTCAAATATGGTGGAAAAAAACAAAATCAAAAAGCACAATCAGAAGTTCTGTGCTCAAACATATATAATGCAAAATTTTAAGTTACTCAACTCTTAGAAACACCCAACAAAGGAATGCATGTGAAGATACTTTGCTTATCCAAAGATTGTTTCCCAAGAAAGCAAGTGATTTTCAGTGTTCTCATCACATTAATTTCTTGCCACTGAGGGTGGGAAGTGAGCTATTTCCATAAGGGAGTGATGATTTGACTTCACGGAAGGTGTCGCCTTACTAACAACACTTAAGTGACAAAAGACTGTTTTGAATATTGATGAGAAACACCAGGACAAAGAAAAATGAAAGTGGAGGCTGAGATGGGTGAGAGCAGAAGAGGGCTTCCTAGAAAAGAAGAGTTAGTTGGTAGAACGATGCACTCCAGTGAGTCGAGCTATTGAAGAATCATCCTGAGATACCTCTGGGGAAGCATTCAACTGGGAGTTCCAGCAAATGTCTCCTGTAGGGTCCTGTGTTCTGGAGCAAGGTGCTGCCTCCCAGGACACTCCTGCTGGCTTCAGGAGGAGCTGCTGCACCCCGGGGGTGGAGGTGGGAGGTACCTTTGAGTGGGCGTGGCCACAGCCGGGAGTTCAGAGCTGGCCTCTGGACCAGGGTTGTGGAGAGTCTGATTTCAAGGTGCACTTGAACTCCACATATGGCTTTTTTTTTTTTTCACCTTCTCCTTCTTCACACTCAGAACTAACCCCAGACTGGCTCTGGGACTGCTCCCCATCCCCCAAGACTTACTCAGAGTTCCAGTATGCCTCCCATGACCCAAGAGAACTCTCCACTGAATGCCCAGGTGCATCTGCAACTGCACCAGTCCATGCCATGTCCCCATCCCAGGCCACTCCCGGTATTTCTGTTGTTGGTGATCCTGCCGTCATGACCCTGGCCAGTCCCACTACAGCCTTCATAGAACCTTGGGTACCTCACCCATGGCTCATCGCCTCCTGCCATCCACCAAGGGCCAGCAGCGTCTCCTGAGGGCAGGGCTCAGTGAGCCAGGCCTGGCCCCAGCTTGGGAGCCGAAGCAGGTTTCACCTTTCACGAGGTGGAAGCAGTTCTGTCCTCCTTGCATGAGTTTTCCATCTTCCAGGTGTCACACTTCAGAAAAGTGGCTAGAAAAACAAGAGGGGAAGATGGACACTGCAGAGTCCTTCCAACTAAGTTCCGCCCATTCGGATATTTTCCAGAATGTTCTATCCAGTGACTTGATTTCCTTGTCTGGTCAGAGACCATCTGTCTCTCTGGTGCAGTAAGGTGTCATGATTGGCACCCTAGAAGCAGTACCCAGGTTGCTGTTGGTTCACCCAGGACTGGCCAGTGCCATGCCACCCTACAGAGGCTTCTCACAAGCCAGACACTGCTTCGGCCAGTGGAGCAGTAACGTGGACAGGGAGAGGGTCTGGGGATGAAGCATCGACAGGAGACCAGTGATGGTAGAAGTCTCTCCGAAGTCTCTGTATTACTCCTTCACCTCTCCTTATATACCCTTCCCCCAAAGTCCTTTAGCCAAGCAACTGGATACAGCTGAGTCCAGTTAGTCTAAGTGTGTTTCAGCCTGTGCTTCTGCTGTAGTGGCAAGCCCAGTTCCTGTTACTGCTCAGCTTAACGAGCCTTATTAACTTCTTAGCCCACAACAAGGTCCGACACATGTGGCTTCAGATAAGCTTTAAGCCATTTCCTGCTCACCAATGGGTGGCGCTGGATCCATCACCATTTTACACAAGGAAACTGAGGCAGAGAGGCAGGTTGGGGAAGTTGTGGGGAGCACATTCCTGGCAGGTGTGTGGTGGGAAGCATGAGGGGCCCCCATGTGCCCTCTATGTCCCAATCTACACTGTGAATGGGATAGCTAGGCAGCAGCTGAAACCCCATTAGCCAGGAGGGGAGGAGCGTGTCACCTGAGTTTCCACAGGCTGAGGCTGAGAAATCCCACATCTGGTCACCTGTCCCTCTGACCCATCATAATCTGGATCCATCCAGTCCTGTGCCTGCCACCCAACTGTCTGCTATCCTACTGTGCACCATGACTGTGATGGCTGTGAGCATGGTCCACGGGGTGTCAGCCCCAGTGGACGCCCCGAATTGTCCCCCTCCCCGTCCCAGATCCCTAGATCCTTCACACGGGGAGAGCTGGTCCCCACAGGTAGCCTCTTCCTGCCAGCCAAGTGCCTTCACCCCTGCTCACTCCTGCGGTCCTTCCGACAGCTCTGGGAGGAGGCAGGTGGAGCTGCCGTCCTCGCATCCATCTTGTACAAACTGAGGTCCTGAGATAGAGTCCCAACCCACATGCCTGGGGAGAGTTGGAACGGCACAGGTTCATCCAGGCGTCAGCCCAGCCCAACCTGGGCTGTAGCTGCCATGGCTGCCTGGCTCCATGGGCCCAAGACTTGCCCTTCCCTGGACAGTGGGCCCTGCAGGCCACACTAGGTCTGCTAGCCTTTTTATCCCAGGGACCTCACCCACAGCTCTTGCAGGTCAGGCGCCAGGCAGGTCATGGCCATCTGTGTTGTACGACCTGGGCTCACTCGGCACAGCAATGAGTGGGGCATTGTTCTCTCGCAGCGGGGTTGGCCGGCATGTCAGCTTCCCTGTGGCCACTCAGTAATGAAAGCAGTTTCTCCGCCCACCAAGAGCTGACGCACAGCAGTTCCGTCTCGGTGGGCGGGGGGAGGGAGAGAGCCCTCCATGGGTCCATGATGCTCCCTGGGTTCCACGCGCAGGGCCGAGGGGGCTGCCGGGCTGAGGCAGCCGCTCTGAAGGGCTCCTTGTGTATGTTCCAGAGTCTGCCCTGCAGAGCCCCGCCGATGATGGATCTGAGGAACCAGGTTCTGAGACCTCTGATGCTAAGAGCACGCCGACAGCCGAAGGTGGGGCCCCTCCTCTCGTGGCTTCTCCCTTCAGACAGGCACCCCTGCCCCCCATCTCCACGCGCACTGCAGCCTGTGCTTAGCCATGTTTGCGCCTCCCCTCCTGCTTCCTCTGCTGCTTTCACTCTCACGGGCTGTGAGCCACATCCACTTGGGGTGCTTTGCAGGATGGGGCTGCAAGACATCGCTGGAACACATGTGCGTCCTGGAGCTATGCGCCAGGGCAGCCTCATGGAGTCCCTGTGCCATAGCGGTCACCCCCCCAACATGCACACAGCCACCCTCATTCTGCCCTCAGAGGCCACCAGAGCCCAGAGCAGCTGTTTGGCCCTGGCCAAGGGAAAAGGCAGGTCCCAGTTTATATCTGGTCTTGATTTAGTGGCCTTCGTGTAGGGAGGCTCCGGTATGGGTACACCCCTCACCCGTGCTCTGCAGACATCTGGTGTCAGGGGTACTGGGACCCTTTCGTGTCATGTGGTGCGGGGGCAGACCTGGGTTACGGACCGCTCTGCACGGTAGAGTCCCGTGGTGAGACGCAGGCCATAAGTCTACAGTGTGTTGTCTTTGCCTCTCTCTTCCCGAATGGGTGCATGGCCAGACACCTGCTGCACTTCTGCCCATCGCATATGCCCTCTGCAGCCCCTGAAACCCAGTGTGTTTCTGACGCACTAGGAAAGCAGACTCCTCTTGCCAGAAGACTCTGTGTCACTGGTCCAAACAGTGTCATGACCACCCCTTCTTGCTGCAAGGGAGGCGGGGGCAACAAGCACTTTGAAAAAGAGGCAGTCAAGCTGGGTGGGTGTGCGGGTAGCTTTTGGGTGATGGGTTCACCAAATCTGCCCCTCCCCACCCCCATGCTCCCCAGGCGACGCGGGAGCTGGTTGTGGTCCTTGCTCTGGGCGGTGGAACCAGTGTCTACCCTAAATGGCTGTCATGTACCCGCAAGTGGCTTGGCACGCAGGTGCCCCCTGAAAGGCCCGGCATGGTGCTCTCTGCTGCTGCATCCCCTACGCTCTCCTCCTTAACACCAGTAACTGGAATCATTTCCTGCTTGTCTTGTTAGGGCAGTTTTGTCACTTGCAACACTAGGCTAGGCCTAACCCTTCCAGAAGGGTCTCTACTCTGCATGTGCGTGCGCTCCTCTGGCAGGGAAGGGGCGGGAGTGCACGGCTCGGCTGCCGTAGGCGGTTCCTTGGGCTCACCGGGCCGGCCAGGGAGGACTGCCGCTCAGAGGTGTTAGCTCCCGCCCGCAGTCACGCAGCCTCCCCTGCACAGCTTGCACCTGCCCCGCACCAGACGGAGACTTATGGTTAGGGCGTTGGAGGGGAGGCCGTTGGCACAGGAGGAGACTGCGGCGCTTCCATTTTGCGGAAGAGGAGAATGAGGCTCAGCGCCTTCCCATAAAGCCCTAGACGCATCCCAGAGCCCCATTCTGTTCTCCCGGGAAGGGTCCTCTGGACCCCAGGACACCTGCTTCGGCACGCGGCGACGCCCCTGCAAGCTGTTCGTCCGCGGTGTGTGTATGTGCGCGCGCGCGCTCTGGGCCGCCGGCGTCTCCGAGGGTGGGGGTGCCCGGCAGCGGCGGTTGCTTTCCTTGCATGCGGCGGGGGTGCGCCTGCTGCAGCTCCCGCACGAGCCTCGTTCCGGGCACCGGGGGTGCGCGCCCCGCGCCGCTGAGGCCACTCTCGGTGGTTTCCAGACGTGACAGCGCCCCTAGTGGACGAGCGAGCTCCCGGCGAGCAGGCCGCCGCCCAGCCCGACGCCGACATCCCCGAAGGAACCACAGGTGAGGGCGGCTCCGCAGGCCCCCGCCGCGGGCCGGGCTGCCTGCTGCCCAGACAAGCCTGGCGTGGAGGTTCCCCCACCCCGGGGAGGCAGGGCAGTGAACACACACCGGCTTCGGAGCACCTGGGGCGACGGGAGCTCTGCGCCAGGTGCCTGCCTGTGTGGCCGCCCTGGTCGCTCCTGAGCGCACTCTGGGGCGCTCTTCACCCGCGCGCGCAGCTTTCTGCCTGCCCCCACGCCGCCAGCACTGGGCGCAGCGGACAGGCCGTGAGAGGGTGTTAGAGGTGGTGTGGGCTCCAGGCCTGCCTGCGCAGGGCAGGCGTGACACCTGCCTGCGGCACCCACAGGCTGCCACCTGCCGCCTAGGGCCGCCAGGACAGGACAGCACTGCCCGCAGCTGCTGCTGACTTCCCATTGGGGCTCAAGCTGAGACTCCAACACAAACAGCTCTGCGGCCCAAGTGTGCCCAGGCCACAGTCCTTGCGCCCACTGTGGAGGCCAGCAGTATCTCCAGTGCTAATGTGTCCAAGATGCGCCTGTGCAGGGACATCAGGGTCATCCTTGCACTTGTTTTTCCAGTTAATCGGTGGGGAGGCTTTCCCGGCTGGGAGGAAGGGGCATTCTCCAGGGCACGTGAAAGCTGTGGAGCAAGCCCCTGGCCAGGTGGTGGGGACCCTGGTTCTGTCTCCTGCTGTCTGGCACAGTCTTGCGTGGGCAATTAGCCTGACTCTGGGATGAGACTGTAGCTGATTCTGTCACTCCGAGGTGGTCAGAAGGGCCTGAGTCTGCAGTTGCAGAACCAGCTGCACCTGGGGTGGTGCCGTCCAGGTTGCACCTGCAGGGGGTCGGAACTGGCTGCACCTGCGCTGGGCTGTCTAAGCTACAGCCTCCTGCGCAGCCACACCTTGCCACCTCCCTACTCTGCCAGGGTCACACAGGGCAGCGGCCTTGAGTCTCTGTCTCACACCAGCCCAGGCCATGGCTCCTGCTGTTACCAAGGCGTGGCGGTGACCCAGGAATGCCCCTTCCTGTCCTCTGTTACCAGGACCCCATGGCCATTCAGCTGGCCTTGCTGTCACTGACTGCACCTGTCTCTTGTTTTTGTAACCTGGTCGGAGACACGGACGACCAACCCTAGGTGCTATGCTCCTGGGAAGTTGACCCAGCTTGCGCTCTGCCCTTTTTTCACTGTCACCTTGCAGGCAACACAGTTTACACTGCCGGAACCCCCACAGCAACTACTCCAGGACAGCCACCACACTGAGTGTCTCTGAGGACACTGCCTCGGAGCTCCTTGCTTTTGCCTCTGTGTTCTCTGTACAGGCCTGGGCCGCCGTGGCAGCCCTGGCTCCTGAGTTTTCGCAGGCTGGAGTGATGGCAGGTCTGGGTCCCAGCCAGTCCCTCATGGGCACTCTGAGAGCCGTCTCCCATCGGGCACTGTCCCATCCTGCAGCTTGCTTCTGTGCCAGGAACTAGGTGCATAGCCACTGGCCGTCGGACACCTGCCATCCTTGCCCTGCAGGGGCGGGGTGGGAGGAACTCCTACTTTTCTGTGATGGAGGAATTGGGGTTCAGGCTTCAGAGCAAGTGGCTTCGAGGACTCCTGATGTGGTTGGGAACATTTCGCAATATTCTTGTTTGAAGCCAGTCGTGACACCCTGAAGGGGAGCCCGACACCCCAAAAGCTGCAGCCAGGTGGCACCTGTTGTGCAAACACCATCAGCAGGTTGCCCAGGGGAGTGGAGGGCAGGAGTTTGACAACCTCGAGGCACCTGCTATGTTGCAGGCACCTGCTAACCTCTTTCACTCAAACTCACGGGCCTCACCATCCTTTCATAGCACAAACCAACTTCTTCCCTTGGGGTTCCAAATGAGTCCACGGAGGCCCTGCGAGGCCCATGGATTCGGGTGCCCAGGCCTGAGCCTGGCTGTGTGACTCCACTGCCAGCTATCCCTCCCCTGACCCCTCCCTGCTTCCAGTATGCTGCGGGGTGCGACCGAGCGTGCGTCTTAGAAGCGTGTGTCCTAAAAGAATGGGGCTGGGACTGCAAGGCGGGTCTGCTCGCCTGGATCACAAAATGTGCAAGTGTTGTGGCTTCTGTCCAATGGAACCTCTGTCCTCACCGCCCCCTGTGGCAGCGTTTACAGTGGAGCCCGACTGGGCCCCGCGGTGCTTGTGGGGCGGGCCCTTCCCTTGCGGTGTACTTTAGGACAGTGCCCGAGGCCCGAGGCCCGAGAGCCCCGTGTCTCCCATCAGTAACTGTGTCTGCTTTCGTCCTCCTCACCTGCCGACGTGGGCCCTAGCTGAAGAAGCCGGCGTTGGAGACACCCCCAATCTGGAAGACCAAGCTGCAGGACACGTGACTCAAGGTCAGTGTGCTGCAGGTGCCTGCGCGTGGTGTTGGGGGAGGCTGGCAGGAAGGCAGGGAGCATTCAGGCAGGCTCTGTCTGGGGCTGTCAGTCTTGGAGAAGATCAGCCATACAGGTCCATGCAGGCTGTTCCAAGAGTTCATGGAAAGTGAACTTCAAAGATAAATAAATCTTGGGACAGAACATTTTGAAAAATGAGCATTAGAGGAGTTTTTGCAAGGTCCCTGGGAAACATGGATTGTGAAAAACCTATGCATGGATTGAAAAGCATTTTTCACCCAAGCAAACTCATGCCATCCTGCCCACAAATGTGTTGAAATGCCCTCAGAGAAAGCGCCCTGGCATTTTTGTTTTTCCTTTTGAAAAAAGTGGTCAGTGCCTTGCAGGAAGCTGGCCCTGCCAGGCAGGGAGCTGAGGGTGGCTGGGGTGAATGACACGGCCTGCAGGCTGCCCTCAGGCATCCCCTTAGAGGAACTTGCTCCTGGGCAGCCCTACACTTTTATCAAGTTCTTTTCTCAGAGCCAGATGTCTGTTTTCTAGAAAAACAGTCTTGTGCAATCATTGGTCACACCTGTTTTCACACCTAACACTCCCAGCAGTCCCCAGGTGTAGGAAATGGGCATACTGGGTACAGATGCCCCTGGGGCAGGGTTTATTTTCTGTTTTATCTCGGATAGGTGAACTTAACAGCCTAGAGGGTAAGGTGAAAGCTTCTAGAAGGCAGAAAAGCTGAGAGGAGGACGCTGTTCTTTTTCTCCAGAAAGCGCGAAGGGATTTGCCAGGTCTTCTGGGATTGCCATCTGCCTTGAGGAGACCCTGTGCCCAAAGAGGGGTCTCGGGGGGGTGTTTCGAGGCTTATCCCGTACCCCTGTTCTTGCAGGGCTGTTGAAAATGTCAGGAGGAGGATATGCACCAAGGGACCCCATCTCTGTGCCAAGCTGGAGCACCCAGCACTTCTGGGCACAGCTTCTAGAGCTGATTATCTGCACCAGCTTTTCAAAAGTAGATGGAAACTGATGTCAGGTGCCCTGGACAGGTAGCAGGGCCAGGCCTTGAGGTGTGGCTGCTGTCTCCCAAAGCCCACAGTAACAGGAAGCTGGATTTGGGGGCAGGGCTAGAACTCCCATCCAGGGGCTCCTGCCATATGGGGTGCAGGCACCCCAGGCAGCATCCAGGCCACTCTAGCAAGTACCCTTCACATGTGTTGGGTACAGACTTTGTCCCCTGAAACCTGCTCCAGGAAGAGAATCAGGCCACTTTTGTGCTGGCCCTGTCACAGTCCCTGCAGTGGCAGCAGGGGCCGCATGCAGCTGAGCTGCTGGGTCCCTGTGGGGAACTCTCCCTGGATGTGGACATGGCTGACCCTGTGCTTGCCAGAGGCCTGGGTTCTGCTCTGGGTGGAGACAGACTCAGGAAACATGAAACTCCAACTGCCCGTCACTGGTCTCTCTCTCTTTCACACACACACACTGCATACAATCCTATACTGATTTTTTTAAGGTCTATTTGCTATTTGTGTTTGGGGGCTTTGTCTCTCTCTTTTTTTCAATCTGTTGCAGAAATAGAACACACTTTTTAAAATTGTATATATTTGTGAGGCAGAGTGAGAGAGCGTGTCTACCACAGGTCAACTCCCCCATTCCCAAACACTGCACCAGCTCAAGCTAGGCCAGGCTGAAGCCGGCAGCCAGAAACTGTTCCGTTCTCCCACATGACTGGTTGGAACCCAAGCACCTAGGTCATCAGTGACTATGTCCCAGGTGCACCAGCAGAAAGCTGGATTGGAAACGTGGAGTAGCTGGGACTGGAGCAGGAAGCATCCCAAGATGACAGGTGACCCCCTAGGAGGCTGTGGAGGCGTGTGGGTTGTGAGAGAGCAGGAGCATCCCAGAGGAAGAAAATTCCCAGGAAGGCCTTCTTCAGAAGGCAGTGTCCCACTGCAGCTGCCCTTGCCGTGGGCCTGGGATGGCTGCTGGTGGCACGGCCTGGCCTGGGTTGCTCTCCTGTAGCCGTCCATGTGTCTTGTTCCTCTGGAGGTTGACTGAGGGCTCCAATAAGGCCTCCAGATCTCTACAGGGCTGCTATTAGAGTGTTCCTGCCATGGGCTGACCCCACAGGGCGTGTTTTGTGATCAGCCGCTGTGTGACAGGTGCAATATGTGATACTAGAAACAGAACACGAATGAGCTTGGGAGCTGGGCCTCAGGCCAGAGCCAGATGAGGCCAAGCTGAGGCTGGCCTCCTGGCGGCAAGCCAGCCCACAACCCTGGGGCCAGGGGTCAGCCATCAGCCATGTGTCCACGGCTACACTAGTGTGGACACACCGCCTGTGTTTGTCCACCTTCTCCCCCTCAATTGAGCCCCTGCCTTACAAGTACCTGAGTCCTTTGGGGTAATGAGTTTGGTTTCCTGCAGGCTGGGGAGGAGGGTGGTTTTGTTCTTGGGACCAGTGGACATGTTCCAGTGCCAGGAGGCAGAAGACATGCAGGGCAGAAGAGCCCCCTCTCTCACACACTGGCCATGCCTGTGTGAATGCAAAAGTCAGATGGGTGGGCATGCAGCAGTTAAACATCCAGTGCCAGCTGGTGCTGGGGTCTGCCCCCCATACTGCGCCGGCCCCCTGAATGTGGCCCTGCCGGAAGGACCCTGCAGTAGGTCTGTCAGTGGTGGTCCTTGCTCCTTGGTGTTGCCAGCCTTCTGGAGTAGGCCCCAGGCACGGTGGCTTCATGGGCCTCTTCTGGTTTCATCTGCCTCAAAGGCGAGCAGTGAGAAAGAGGGAGGGGGGTGAGGAGCCCGCCATGTACTCCAGCTGAGCCCCACATAGGCCTCCGCCTCCTCCAGGGACGCAGATGCTCTAGGCCAGGGAGCGGCTCCTGTGGCACTAGGGACTCAGTCCAAGGCAGCATTTGAGTAGCTAATTTCCTCGGTACCCTGTAGGGGCCCGGTTGGCACAGGAGTGACACCCATGCCAGAAGGAGCCTTGGAGGTCTCCAGGGCCAAGGTGAAGTGCAAGAAGGGGCAGTGCTCAGGCAGGGTTGCCTAGGGACGTGGTGGCAGCCATACTACTCCTGGGTGCTCTCTGTCCAAGCAAGCAGCACCTGGGGAAGCACAGAGTGGGGCCCGTATGGCCTTGTCAGGCCACCCCGTTTACAAAAGTCCTTCCCTATGTCAAGAGCCTGGTTCCCTCTTCAACAAGCAAAATACCCTGGCTAACCTGTGCCATCACTGCCTCTTCAAACCCAGAGGAGGCAACCGTTCCCAGCTGGCAGAGGGAAGTACCTGCGAGGCCCCTAGCCAAGGAGCATGGTACTCACATTCAGCCTGGCCATGGTGGAGGAGTGCCTGGTATCTCAGTGCCACCCGTGGGCCAGAAAGAGCCGGAAGCCGCAGCTGGGTTGCTGGACCACCTTCCACTGCAGCATTCTGTCTTTCCAGAGCTTCCACCACCAGGAGGCCCTCTGGAGTCCCCGCAAGAGTCGGGGCTGAAACATGGGGACCTGGCCAGGGAGGGCCTGGAATTCCAGAAGCCTGCCTTCCCCAGATCTCTGCAGAAGGAACCCGAGATCATGAAGGTCCAGGAAAGCCTGCTCGGGGAGCGAGGGCTCCAAGCAAGCCAGGCCTCAGGCGCAGGGGCCCTGGGGCTGCCCCATCAGAGTGTGTCTGACGCGTGGGGGGCTCCTCTTGGGCCTGAAGGCCCTTCTGGAGAAGCCGCACTGCAGTACTTGGGGCCGGGGCATGGGGGCGCCGAAGGAAGCCAGGAGGGGCCAGCCCTGAATGGGCATCGTGGCAAAGAGAGGCTGGGGTCCCAAGGGGAGGCAGATGAAGACCGTGACATCGATGAGTTGTCCCAGGCCTCCCCAGACCAAGGCAGGTCACCCTCTAAGAGGTCTTCCCGAGAAGCCTCAGCCGGCACCCCGGGGTCCCCACTCCCTGTTGATCTTCTCACTGAAGTGACCACAGAGACCAAGATCGCAGCCTCCATGGGGCTGATGGCAGTGGTGCCCCTGGAGCCCACCCTCCACATGGAGGCCAGGGCTGGCACCCAGCAGCAGCAGCAGCAGCAGCAGCAGCAGCAGCAGCAGCAGGCATGCTCAGAGTCGGACTTGGAAGGGACTGTGCTTCCGGGGGACCCTGGAGAGAAGCAAGAAGCCCAGGCTCCCTCTTTGGGACAGGGCACCCAAGAGGCCGACCTTCTGGCACCATCTGGAAAGCACCCCGTGGCCGGTCGGCCAGCCAGACCCGTCAGCCGGGTCCCTCAGCTCAAAGGTCTGTGTTTCAAGTGCCCTGCTCCTTCCCTGGTGCCCCGTGTGGCCACCCAGGCTGTGGACACTGCCGCTGCACTGCTGGAATTGCGGGGACGACCACAAACCCCTTTGCGGGCCTCGGCTGCCTCTTACTTGACCCCCAACCCAGGCTCTGGTAACACGCACTGCTCTCATGCTTGGCTGCCAACACGCATGTCACCGACTCTTTCCCAGTGCTTTCCACCCTGCCCCCCGCCCCAGCCAGCTGCCTATTCCACAGAGAGTGGGGCAGCCGCCTGCACCGGGACACGTATTCTGGTCTCCCAGGCAGGCATTACGCACATGATCACTTCACAGATGAGGAAACCAAGGCTCAGAGGGGCCTGAGGTCACACAGCAGAAACCAGCGCTGGATCCTGCATGGCAGGGGCGGACAGCTGTCTCTCGGCACACACCGAGCAAGCATTGTAGTCAGCATTCTGTTGTCCGGGCCAGGGGAGGTGGCATGGAATTTCCATGGCTCGATGAGTTTGGAAACAACAATGCAACCCAAGTTAAATGGCTTTGTGGCCACAGGCCTTACCAGGGCCCACCAGACTCTCTGGCCCGGCTGTACCAGTGGCATTGCCCAGATACACCTGCCCCCACCTCGTGGAGGGCACAGGCTGGACTCTGCCCTAGTTGGGAAGGGCGGAGCTAGCGGATGCCTGAGTTGTCTCATAAGTGAAGGAAGCAGCCGGGAGTCCTGTCCACCTGGGGCTCTTGGCTGCCCCTCTGAGGGAATCTGTGTTCTGGCCGCCTCTCCCTTTGGAGCCAGGAAATCCATGCTCCAGCAGCTGGTAAGGAGCTGCGAGAGGTCCGCTGACCCTGGGGCCCAGGATATAGTACCCAAACCAGTGGGCACAGTCAGAAGTCAGCATACAGGGAGAGGGCCCCCCTGACATGGGTGCCTGGGGTGGTGGCTCACGCCCACTGAGGGGCAAGGCCCCGTGAATGAGGACCCCCAGCGTGTGGTCCCAGAGTGCAGAGGCAATGGGTAGGATGTTTGGTGGGATCTGGCTCAGAGCTCCTTTGGGGGAGTTCAAGGCTTAGTCTCCTGGGTGGGGAACACAACACCCAGGCTAAGTCACCCTGGCTGGGGGAGAGCTGGGCCAGCATGACAGCAGCCAGGGCTGGTATTTGAGACCCCTCTCCCCCATTGCTGAGAGGCAGCCTTGGGGGCTACAGCCAGATGTGGGGGGATGTGACCGTGCCTGCCAGGCTCATCTGTTGTGTTGTTGTGTGACCATGGAAGACAACCAGGAACACAGCACAGTGGGCATGGGGTAGGGGAGCCAGGGTCCAAGGGTCTAAGGGGGAGTAGAAAACCAAAGCCTGGCAAGGCCACCAGGGGGAGACCACCCACACCTTGAACTTGGAATGCTATGCGAGGCTGGGGCCTGGCTGAGCGGCCCCTGCCCTGTCCGTGGTCCTGAACCACTCCTCTGCAGAGTGCGGCTGGCTCTGTGCACAGACCAGGAAGGAGCCAGTTGGTCTGTGGGGTGGGCCAACTGCACCATCCGCCTCCCTGGAAAGCCAGCCCTATGTTAACACATGCCCCTAACACATCTGCTGCGTCCCTTCTGCATGCCCCTCCCCTCTCTGGCCAGCCTACCACCCCCTCTTGCCAGGCTGCTCTGAGCAACGTCCCCAGTGTGCCGTGTGGACACTAACAGTGAGAGACCTCGTGGGCTTCGGAGGAAGGAAGTTCACCTGTCTTCTGCCAGACTCACTCGGGGGTGAGGCAGGAGACAGCCTGGCACTGTCCATGGGGCATGGAGCAGGTGTAATGTGTGTTCTCATTTTCTGTCTTGTCAGCTCGCATGGTCAGTAAAGGCAGAGATGGGGCTGGAAGCGACGACAAAAAGGCAAAGGTAAGCACAGGCTCCTGGGAGCCGTGTGATGCTGTGTGATGCCAGTTAAGGGTGAGGAGACGCTGTGCCTTGGGGCCAGGACTTCCCCGAGTGGTGAGCAGCTGGCAGGTGTTTAAATGCCCATGTTTACCCCTAGTGGTGACTTCTCCAGAGAAGGGCAATTCCAGTGTCACTGCCTCTCATTGCCATTTCCTCAGCTTGGTTGAGGTGTGGCTGTGACAGCAGATGCGGGCCTGCTTGGAGTCCCTGCGGTACAGCTGGCATTCGGCATGTCCTGCACCACAGACATGAGCCAGGCATGCGGGGTGTGCGACAAGTTCATGGGAAAGGTGTAGGATGAAAAACAACCATGCTTGCCATTCACTTTTTTTTTGTTCGCACTAACAATAATTTTGAAATCCCATTTTTGAGAGAACTGTTTGAAGTCCTCTCAGCTGTACAGGAGTTAGGCCAAGAGCTCAGCCCTCCAACTCGGGCAGGGGATGCTAGGTAAACCCTGCAGGGAGGAGGTGCAGGCTGGTGAGAGCTGAGTGGACACCAGAGTCCTGCAGCACAGGCCTGGGCTGCCAGCAGGGCGGAGGTCTTAGTACAGCAAGCATCTGGGGCTGCCCTAGACAGCCTGCAACATCCAGCAGGAGCAGTGGGTGACACAGCCTGCTCATCCAGCCTCTCGGTGGTCACCCAGCAGCTCGCTTTCCCTCGGTGGTTATTGCTAGTGACTCTGTCTCGGAGGAGGTAGCTGCAGAGTGGTGCATTTGTGCAGAATCTTACTGCTGTCCCTAAAGGAATCTAACATGTCTGGCAGGAATCCACCTGTCAAGGGCAGGCACCTGTTCACTCATTCATGTTCAGTTCATTCGTTCATCTGCCCTGGCTTTGCTCTCCCCTAAGCAGACCTTTGCCATGCCAAGAGGGACCCTCCGTGGCTGGGACAGAGGCACTGGTAACCAGCTTCTCTAACTTGGCACATGCCTTCTAAAGCCTCAGTCACTTCAGGGGTGATGGAAAGACCCCAGGAAGCTCAGGGACAGCTCTGCACCTGCTCCTCCTTGGAGTGCTCAAGACTTAGCCTCTGTGATTCCTGAAGGAGGAGGAGGAAGTCCCCCCTGCCTCCCTCTCCTGGGGCCCTGCTTCCTGGTCAAACTTTGGCAGAGGGAGTTGGGACACACCGTGGTGTCAGCCCCCACTCAGCAGGTAGCCCGCCACACAGGGCAACTCCCTCCCTCTCCAGGGGCCACAAGTCACATGGACACCAGTCCCACTGGCCACCCACTCCATCCAAACTAGAAATTTAGCCCAAGTTCCAGGGCTCACTTTGGCCAGACTAGGTTTCACCTGGTATGAAGGCAGGGTTTTTTTTTTTTTTTAAGATGTCAATTAGAATTTCTATGTGTGTGCATGTGTGTGTGTGTTACGTTCTCAATGGTGCCACATGGCCTCTTCATGCCGCAGGGCAGGCCCAGGGCTCCATCTGTGTGGGAAGAGGGCCAAGGGCCAGCCAGTGGGCAGGCGAGCATGGAGTGGGGTACAGGTAACCCCGGGCAGGTTGGAATGCTTTCCTGGCCACAACTTCTGCTTGGCACATGGGAAGCACCTTTGAATCGGGAAGATGCACTAACCATTGTGCCCACTTTTCATCTTTGCTGTGGGGCCTATATGGTGGGTACACATGGCTCAGCAATGCTGGGTGATCGGGGGTGCTCCCTTTCAGCTCCAGCCCATCCCCGGAGAGGCCAGGCTGTGAACCATTTTCAGGGCACCAAGCCTTACTCATCTGCAGTTGCTGTCCTTGTTTTCCATTTGTCTTTTCTTTTTCCCATGTGCTGACTTTGTCTTTGATTTTATTTATGTTTATGTTTAAGACATCCGCACCTTCCTTTGCCACGAGCCTGAGAACTAGGCCTTGCCTTAGCCCCCCACGCCCCCCTCCTGGTAGCTCAGACCCTTTGATCAAACCCTCCAGCCCTGCTGTGTGCACAGAGCCAGACTCCTCTCCCAAACACGTCTCTTCTGCCTCTCCCCGCCACGGCAGTTGTGGAGCGAAGGAGATGAAATTCAAGGTAAGGAGTCGCCCTCTGCCGGAGCCAGGCTGCTGAGTGCAGGGCGCCTAGGCCGGGCCTCTACACCGAGACATGCCCCTGCAGATGATCTCTGGCCCGCTCTGGCCCTGTGCAGGACAGAGAAGAGGCTGCGGGAGGCAGACAAGAGGGCTGGAGGCTGCCTTCCCGCAATCCTCCTACCCTGTCATGGCCGCAGCCTCTCAGACAGCTGCTGGCACCCTGGCTTGAGAATCGGCACTCCAGCAGGGGCTCCTCCTGATTCTGGTAACAGGAAGCAGCTGCAGATGGCCCCGCTCTGGATCGGGACACATCACTGTCCCTCACTGGAATCTCTGTCAGGTGTCTCTGAGTAACCAAGCCCTCAGCTGTGCACGGGCACGTGCTGCACCTGTGCTGGCTCTCGTGGTTCAGCTTGCGCACTCCTGAGCCCTAAGTGTCACTTGGGTGAGCAACCGAATGACCTCACTCTTTGGAACATCCCGGGGTCAGCTTCCACAAACGCTGTCTGCAGGGGCGGCTGACGAAGCAGCTGACACCTGTCACACAAACCGTCAAGGCCCGCCAGCAGGCGAGATCTGCAGAGGTCAGCAGACCTCTTGGCAGGAAGGCTGCCCACAACCACGCAGGGGGCTCCTCAGGGAGCAGGAGGTCCTCAGGGCAGTTGGCACTTGTGTGGGGCAATGGAGCTGTATGCCCAGCAGGCCCTCGTGTCGGTGGAGGACACTGTGGCATCCAGTGGGCCCAGGGACGCAGAACCTGGCTGGCACTGATGCCTGGGACACTCCGCTGCCCCACAGTGAAAACCTTTCTTCCTTGATTCGGTTCACAGGGGGCTGATGGGAAAGCTGGAACGAAGATCGCCGCACCCCGGGGAGCGGCCCCACCTGGCCAGAAAGGTGCTGCCAACGCCACCAGGATTCCTGCGAAAACCACGCCCTCCCCCAAGACCCCACCCGGCTCTGGTGAGGAGGATGCTCCCCCCAGAGCTGGTGTGGGAGCTCCCAGCGTTGGGCCCCTGGCTCTCAGTAACCCCTGGGAGCTGCTCCCCTGCACCCTGCAGCTCCCTTGGCCCTGCAGCGCTAACCCTGATGTCGACTTGGGGAGCCCTGCAGGCCCCACATTTTGCTCGCGGAGGTTTTGAACAGAATCTAAACAGCCCACCTGCGGCATGATGGAATGTGGTGTGCTCTGATAAGGGGCAGGTAGGAGGGGGGCTTTTCTGTGAACTGCCACCACCCTAAATGAGGGCTTCCGAGGAGACAGCCCCCTGTGAGGCACAATGGGTAGCAGGGCTCAGTGTCCCCGCCACGGCAGGTACTAACTTGGAAGGTGTGGCCGGGCAGCTGTGGGTTCTGTCCATGTCCATTGTGGGCTCTGTCGTCCCATTGCCTGGCCGGATGTTTTTCTCTCCCTTGGCCCTGGCAAGAGTCTGGTCTGGGGTTGCTGTTGGGGGTGGGGTCAGGTAGCCTGTGGTTGTGAATGCCAGCTGTGATGGGAGCTGGGCCAGCCCCTGTGGCCTTCGCTGGCCCTGGGCTCGGGGAGTGGGGGTGCCTGTCTTTGCCTGCAGTGTGTTGTTGCCGCGCCGCCATGTGGCATGGGGTGGTGTCTGCCGGCCTGTGGGCTTGGTTTCCTTGGTCTGGGGTTTCCTCGTGTGCGTGTGGCTCAGGGTCACGGGTGGTGCTGAGTGGGTGTCATGGATGACTTTGGTCCTGCTGCTTTCTCTTAACCTTATGCCAGTCCACCACTTGAAGTGTGGGAAGTGGGAGGGGGGTGTGCTGCTTGTGGTGCCTTTGTCCCCACCCCCCGCCGTGGATGCCTTGTGACGTTGAGGCTTTCTGTGGGTTTTTCTTTAGAAGTTACCAAGCAAGTGCAGAGAAAACTGCCCCCTGCAGGGCCCAAACTGGAGCCAGGTAACTGGGAACCCGCTTTGCAGGGGGCAGACCCTGGCTTGTGTCCGCAGCTCTGCAAGGGCCAACGCTGAGCCCGGTGTCCCCACACTGCGTGGGCTGTGCGGAGGTGTTGAGGCGAGCTGGTGCTGTCCTGGTTCGCTTCCAGGGCAGGGATGGGGGAGGGGGGCATTGTCTCGAGACATCCGGGGTTCTATACGTCTCAACTGTGTCCCTATGCAGGGTTCTGCCATCTCCTCCTCCTTTCTCCTCTTGCTTCCCTTCCTCCTCCTATTTCTCCTTTCCCACCCCCTCTTCCTTCTTTTTTCTTTTAAGATGTAATTTTTTGAAAGGCAGAGTGACAGAGAAAGAGATCTTCCATCTGCTGGTTCACCGCCCCTAAATGACTACAATGGCCATGGCTGGGCCGGGCCAAAGCCAGGAGTCAGGAATTCCATCTGGGTGTCCCACGTGGATGCAGGGGCCCAAATTCTTGGGCCATCCTCTGCTGCTTTTCCTAGGCACATTAGCAGGGAGCTGGATCGAAGTGGAGAAGCCAGAACTTGAACCGGTACTCATAACAAATGCTGGTGGACAATGCCAGCCTCCCTTCCCCGGCCCCACTGGCCTCTCAGGCATGCCCACTCCTCAAGTGTATCCTGCCTTCTGTCTCCAAAACGGAGTCGTGCACTCTGCCCGGTCCTCAAGGACACCCCCCCGGCTTAGGGAGGGTCTGAGTCCTGGCGGAGATGGCCAAGTGGCGTTATGGGATTTGAGCCTCCGCCAGGGGGCGCCTCCCGTGTCCCAGTGGGAGACAGGCCTCTGGTGTCCAGGTGCAAGGACAGGGAGGTGCACCGAGCTTCCCGCAGGAGTCTGCGCGGCGCGGAGCCGGGCTGGCAGGGCTGGCAGGGCTGGTGGGGCCAGGCTTCACCATGGCTCCTAGCCCACGAACCAGTCCTGCAGACCCACTCCAAGCGTTTTGTCTGCAGCATCCCAAGCAGCAGCTTAGTGAGCTGTACCAACAGCACCAGCCCCCAGAGCTGCTGAGACTCTGGGACCAAGGGGCCGTGGCCCACACTTGGAGAAAGCCTGGGCAGTTGGCTCCGGAAGTGTAGTGTAGGGGGGCACAGAGACATTTTGGGGGTACAGGTACCCAGAGGAGAGTCAAGCAGAAGCAGGTCTCTTCAGCCTGCCTGGGCTATCTTGTGCTTTGGTGAGTGGAGGCGCGGAAGCTGGCGGGGGTGTAGCTGCAGTTGAGGGAGTGGCATGAAGGGGTGGCCCTCTGGCTGGAGCATACCCGCTGTTTGGGGCTCCAAGTGGGGGGCCCGGCAGCCTCTGCCCTGTGGAAAAGGCCAAGGGGGGCGGCTGCTGGGGCCTGTCGGGCCTTGCCCCTGCCAGGGGCCGCCTCTGGGGCCTCACTGACCTCCCTGTGTTCCTCCCCTGTCCCTGCAGGTGACTCTGGGAAATCCGGGGACCGCAGCGGTTACAGCAGCCCCGGCTCCCCGGGCACCCCCGGCAGCCGCTCCCGCACCCCGTCCCTGCCAACCCCGCCCACCCGGGAACCCAAGAAAGTGGCGGTGGTCCGCACCCCGCCCAAGTCGCCGTCGTCCGCCAAGAGCCGCCTGCAGACGGCGCCCGTGCCCATGCCAGACCTGAAGAACGTCAAGTCCAAGATTGGCTCCACTGAAAATCTGAAGCACCAGCCGGGAGGCGGAAAGGTAGGAGCGCGGGCGAGGCGAGACCCCGGGGTTCCCGCCACCCCCTCCAGGCCCCGCCTGTTACTGCCCGGTTCTGGGCATCTCCATAACAGCAAATGATCTCCCCAGGGCAGGCCGCGCCCCTTCGGGGTGGGAAGTGGAGCAAGGTGGGACACTTGTCCCCGCATCCCTGGTGCTGAGTTGTTGGGGCTGGTCGGGAAGGGACTCCTGGGTTCAGAGCTACAGGCGGTGGGCCGCGTGTTGGCTGGGCCGCCTCCTCCCCTCTCCCTTTAGTTTGTAGGTGACAGCTTCTGGGGCCTCGTACACCTTGGTGCAGCCGCCCTGCCCCTCTGTATGTCCCACCCTAGGCTGCTGGGCATGGGGCCTGAACAGAGGAACTTGGGGTGGACACTCCCCACATTGGGGGTAGGGGAAGGGCAGAAGGACAGGAGGCACGTGTGGGTACAAGGTCCAGGACTGGCTCCTGAAGCCACCAGTGCACCTTCAGGGACTGGGCAGCCTGGGGGCCAAGTGGGGGTGCCCTGTGCCTACCTTCTGGGGCGTCAGGCCTCAACTGGCTTTTTGCATCCGCGTGGCCGCGAGGCTACTGCCTGGTGGGAAGACCTGAGCAGCATCAGGGTCCATGGGCACTGTGGGGTTTGCCTCCTCCAGGCTGGGGGCTGGTGGAGGCCGTGTGCCAGATCTCAGAGGGGACCTGGGTCTTAGGATGCCAAGTCGGGCCCAGGTCTGTCCCTGTCCACTCCAGGGTCTCCTGTGTGAGCACTGGCCACTCTATGTCACGTCCAGGTTTTTGCAGCAGTATCCCTTGGGGACCATGTCCTCCCCAGACACTTGGCACAGCCTGTATATGGCTGGGAGCTGGAGGGGCCATGGCCAGCCTGGCATCTCCACCTGCCCCATCAAAGAAAGGGGGACAGCAATGTTCATGGGACCATGAGGTCAAGGACATGGACCTGGGACAGGGGAGGGACCTTCTCTGTGTTTCCCACCACCTCCAGTGGCACTGCGGGACCCACTGTCTTCCTCCATCCCCACAGTGCTCCGGGTCGGGGGCCAGGTCTAGGGGGGTGGGCTTGCAGCTGGGGCTGTGTGCTCCAGAGGCCACCTCCTGAGCCCCCGGCCTTGGTGCTGCTGTGGCCTGGGGGTGTGGGGATGCCCTGCTTTTTTCCCACCCCCAGTCACCTCTGAGTCCAACTTGTTGCTCCTGGGACTCACTGCCTGCTTGTTCCCCCACTGGCCCGGAATGCCTTCCTCCTCATATCTTTCCCCCTCTTCTCAAAGCCCCCAGACCTCTGACCACTCGGCCCAGGGTCTGGGCTGTTACTAAGGGTAGAAATGGTCTCAGACTTCTTTGCCGTTCATTTGTTAGCCCAGTATCTGTCCACCTGAGTGAATGAATCAAGTGGCTGGGGGCAGAGTCCTTGATTCACTCCTGGTGCCAGGAGCTTCCTACAAGCCCTGGGTCCCCTGAGGTTGTCTTGGAAGATGGAGGCGTTGTGTGGCCCAGGTCCTGCAGCTTCACCCAGGGCAGCAGTGAGAGGCCTGACCCAGGCCCCGGCCGGACCTGTTCCCTTGCACCTTGTGGGGTTAAATGAGACAGTGACACGGGAGCTGGCCTCATTGAGTGGGGTGGGGAAGTATGGAGAAGTGGTAGAGGGTGGACAGTCCAGAGCAGAGAGGCAGGCAGTGGCCACAGCTCCACCCCCATGGGGGAGGAAGAGCACCGGGCATGGGGGTGAGGGGCCCCACAGCGGCCTCCCAGTGCCCCTCTGGATGGGACTGAAGGACCCTGTGGCCCCACATACAACCAGTGCTCAATAAATGTTTAGCTACAAGGAGACAGAGCTGTGAGGGTTTGAAGAACAGGGAGATGGCAGCCCTTTCTTCTCCCAGGCACATGTTTATATATTTTTTAATATATGTTATATGTATTATATATTAACATTTATTTACATTATATGTTATATAATTATGTATTATATATTAACATTTATTTTAACTTGAAAGGCAGACATGCACAGAGAGAGGAGAGAATTTTATCGTCATTGATTCACTCCCCAAATGGCCGCAAAGGCCAGAGCTGAGCAGGTCTGAAGCCAGGAGCTTCTTCCTGGTCTCCCATTTGTTTGGAGGTCCAAGGACCAGCACGGCCGGCGGCAATACTCCAGGTGGCCACCAGATGGCTCTGTGGCTCCGAGTCTTGCATTGGCCTGCCCTCCACCCCCACCCCGTGTCTCTTCCCTCCCAGCTAGGATTCCGACTTCTCCACCCTTCTCCTTGACTGCTCACTAGCCCAGAGCGTAGAGGACTTTTAGGGCTGTCCTGCACCTGGCAGCAGGACCCAGCCCTCCAGCGAGCTCAGGCAGAGGTGCAGGCCCACAGGGAGCCGGGGCCCCTCGCTGGGGACAGCTAGGCACACCCTGGGCCCGCGTTGTGTGGTGAGGGCGCTGGCGGCAATGCAGGTGATTGGTCCAAAGGTGACCCCTCCCCCTGGGCCTGTGGCCTTCTGAGTGGCCGGTGGACTGGGCAGGTTCTTTGGCATCAGTCCCTGGGCTAATCGCTGGCTGCTGTCAGAGTCCCATGCGGGACCAGGTTCCTGTTAGGGTTGAGAGGCAGTGAAGCCTGCCTCCACCCCCTGCAACACCAGGCCCTGCGGGGCGGGGGCTGGGGCGCCAAATCCAGGCCCAGGGTGGGTTTGGGTCTTTCAGGAAATGGGTGAAACCACCCACCCCTGCTCTGTCCCCACAGCAGCTTTTCCAAGGGTGAGATTCCCAGCCTCGTGCTGGCCACTGCCGGTCGTGCTCTGCCTCTGGTGCAGCTTTGCGGATCTGCTTTGCAACCGACCTCAGATCCACTGCCAGCCCCTGCCTTTCTTGTGGGATTGGAGTGAAAGAAGCCACTGGTGTGCTTGTGGCTGACTTTGTGTTGTTGCCTCACGCTGTTTGATTGATTTGCTTTGTTTCTTTTGTGCATTTGCACTGAAAAAAGTAGGTTGTCATCCTTGAAAAACGGGTCCGTTTTGTTCATCGAACAACGAGCGTTTTGCAACCTGTGCCGTTTCCTCTTGGCCTTGGCTCCCAGGGAGTTCAGAGTGAAGTGTAGTGACCGGCTTTGTAATGGTCAATCTTGATGACCTTGCCATCATAGAACATTATCACTAACTTTGTTGAATTATTGTGTGTGTGTGTGTGTGTGTGTGTGTGTGTGTGTGTGTGTGTGTTTTAACTGTTTCTGTTCTTTTTGGAAAGCAGGCAAACCTGCTTCTGGAACTTAGCCAACACACAAAAAAAATGGTGAAATAAGATAATAACCTCCAAAGGAGGAGGTCACGGGGGACCCCTTGATATGTGAAGGTTTACTCCTGAGAGTAGAGGGGCGTCCCCGTTGCCCCCCAGCTGCCCCCGCCCAGACCCCAGAAGCTCTTCCCCACAGGGTAGAGGTAGTGCTGCGATCACTGTCAACCACAAACAAACGTTGTTTTCAGGACTCCAAGGACAAACCAGGCAGTAGGAATGGGATCTGAGATCCGAGCAGGTCTGGCATGGCGTCTGCTCCCATCTTGGGAAGGCTGGCTGAGTCCTGTGGCCTCCTTGTGTGTAAACAAGTGGCCTCTGACTCAGAAAGGGATGTGGACTGGCGTTTGTGCCCCAAGTTCAAGAAGTAAGGGAATTGTCTATTCTGAAATCCCAGGAATGGAATTGGGAAACAGAAGGGAGAAAATGCCCTGGGCAGCCAGGGGTCAGGGGACAGCAGCGGCGAGGCTGGCGTTGGGTCGGGTTGGCACTGCTCAGGGCGGGCTGGACCACCTTGTCCAGGGCCAGTTCCAGAGTGACACCGAGAACTGTTTGAAGATTTGTTTTATGTGCTTGAAATGCAGAGTTGGAAAGTGTGCTTCCTGCTCTGGTTCACTCCATAGATGGCTACAATGGCTGGGGCCAGAACAGGCTGAAGCCAGAAGGCAGCAGGCTCTTCTGGGTCTCTGGCGTGGGTATAGATATCCAAGGACTTGGACCATTTTTTCTTCTACTGCTTTCCTAAGCCATTAGCTGGGAGCTGGATTGGGAACTGGAGCAGCCAGGGCACGAACCAGCATTCCTATGGGCCTCCAGTGCTGTAGCTGGCTGCTTGGTGCACTATACCACAGTGCCAGATCCGACAATTTTTTAAACCAAAAGCGTTCGAGAGGCAGAGGGGAAGGCAGCCAGCACTCCCAGTTGGGGGTTTCCTCCCCACTTGCCTGCCAGAGCCAAGGGACCACCATGGAGCCAGGACCTTAAACCAGATCTTGTGCATGGGTGGCAAGATCCCAACTACTGAAACCATCGCGAGCCTCACAGGGGACCCATCCGTGGGAAAGCTGGAGCTGGGCTAGCCCAGGCCCGCGACTTGCGCTGTGGCCCCTGGGCCAGCCATCCAACCCTGAGGGGTTTTGATCCTTACTTTCCGTTTTTGCGAGTCCGTACTATAATAAGAATCTGTTTTATCTAAAATAGAATTATGCAAGTGCTCAACACGGCAGCCAGAGAATCTGTGAAATGGGCTTGAGGACATTGCTAAGAATGCACACAGAGGTTGAAATGCTGTAGGGTGCACACTCCCATATCTGAGTCCCAGGTCCACATCTAATTCCAGCCTCCTGCCAGTATGCGGCCTGCGAGGCAGTGAGGGATGGCCCTTGGGCCCCCACATGCACAGGGGAGACCTGGAGGAAGCTCCTGGCTCCTGGCTTCAGCCTGGCCCAGCCCCAGCTGCGTTGTGGGCATCTGAGGGGATGGAACCAGCAAATGGAAGACTTATCTCTTTTTTTTTGCTTTTGAAGTAAGCAGAAATAAATAACTTGAAAACGGCAGCTTCTGGTGAGCATAGAGTGTAAAGAATGTGTGGGGTGCGATGTTGTCGGCGGCGTGGGGAAGGCGTTGCGTAGTCATGGCACTCAGTGGGTCCCTGTCAGAGCAGGACTTGCGGGACGTGCAGCAGGCTGAGGGATGTTCGTGTGGGGTACTGAGAAAGCTGCTCTACCCTTGCCTGTTACTCTCTAGTTTCAAGATCCCAAGTTCTGTTTTTTCTTGAGACATACACATTCTACTGCGAAGGGAGTATGACGGGCATTGGTGATTCCAGGTTTTAAGATTCAGATCCTTCAACTTAAATAAACCATGGCCGGAGCTGGAGGCGGGTGGGAGCACAGGTCCCTAGTGCTGATGGCTCCTGACCACGGGGCTCTGGGAACAGAACGGCCACAGATCGGCCTGGCGGCAGCTGAGCTCACCCACTAACACTGCTGGGTCTAGCTGGACGTTTACTCTGTGCCCACCAAAACCTGGGTACCCTGCCTGCCAGCACACCTCCTGGAAACCCCTGAGCCATTGGGCAGCCACTTCCAGGGCTCCAGGGTTTGCCCATCTGCTCTGCAGTTCCTATGCTCATTACAGTTCCACATTGGGCTGGTCCCGGGTCCTTTGCCCACAGCCTGTCCCCAGCCCTTCTACCGGGTGCCAGGAGGAGGATGAACCTCTCAGAAATAGTCCTGTGGGACCCGTGGTGCCCACCCTGCCCCCTCCTCCTCCAGAGAGAAGGGACCATGGGTGGGACATCTGCTGGGACAGCTGCTTGGAGGAGCCAGCCCATCCCCCTCCCCCATCCATGCCCGGACCGAGATCCCAGACCTCCACAGGTGTCTCTAAGGCTGTGGACACACTGTGATCAAACTGGTACTCATTCAGGCCATCAGACATCTTTGCCACCCCAGCCAGGCCCTTGCCTCCTCCTTACAGACCTTGGGGTGCTGAGGCACCCCTGGGCACATTCATCAGTGATGTGAAATTAGCTCCAGGGTCTGTGGGGTACCCCAGGGTGGGAATGCCTTTGGGGACAGCCTCTCTCCCTTCTCCTGAAGACCTTGCCCTTTGCCCCAGATGTGTGACTTGTTGGCCTCTGTCCCCTGTGGGGCCTCTCCCCGCTCCTGAGGCCCTGCACGCGGGGAGGCATTGCGCAGAGCGCTGGGGGCGGCTCACGGCTGCTGTGTCACTCATCATTTTTTCTGGCTGTCAAAGGTGCAGATAATTAATAAGAAGCTGGATCTTAGCAACGTCCAGTCCAAGTGTGGCTCAAAGGATAATATCAAACACGTCCCAGGAGGCGGCAGTGTGAGTACCGCCAGTGGCTTGAGCCAGGCACGCCTGCACTTGCAAGACATTGCAAAGAATAAGGCATTCTGGGTTCAGCATCAGCCCTGGGGGCTCAGCTCCCAGAAACCCCTCCCATGCTCTGGGGTCCCTGAGGCTATGCAGGCAGGGCAGGGTCAACACCCATCGGGGCCCACCCATCACTGTTGTACACCTACTCAGGAGCTTCCCTGGCCCTTCTGAACTCGGGTATGAGCTTTGTCACGTCCTGGCTGTCACCTGGGGTGGGGTCACTTGGAGGGGGAGGTCCCACGGGCCCAACCCTGGGTAGACCTGGTACCCTGCCTGGCCCATGGCAAGGAAGAAGGGTCTCGCCTCTGCTTGGTGCCTCCTGCACCTGTCAGGGAGGAACTGACACCCAGACCCCTGGGTAGAGGCCCCTGATGCCCAGAGCCAAGCAGGAGACAGTGGTCCTGTCGCCCTGGGGGTGGGGGTGGGGGTGATGTGTGGACAGGCTGCTGAGGTTGCTTTTCAATTCAGCTTCTCTAGCCACATCTCCTGAGGATCCCCTGCTATATGTCCTCAGTGAGACCAGGGATGGGGGCAGGGCCCTTACTTACCACCTGCCCTCCTCATGGCAGCATCCCCAGGCTCTGAGACAGAATCCCCTGGTTCCTTCTGGGCTCCCTTCTCCCCTCCCTTTCCCAGCTCTCTGTCAGTGCTGGACTTCTCCCCCTTCTCCCCAACCCCGGGAGGGGCTGGTGTGAGTATGAGTTCCTCCACCACACCCCAGACCGGCAGTTGGCACTGCTGGGCCTGGGCCCCACCCAGAGGGTTGACTCTTGCAATGACTGTGCTGCTGCCCCTGCGGGCTCCTGGCTTCCTGGGTGCCTCTGCACTTGCCCTGTGGCTGCTGCATGGGGCTTCCTACACTGCCTCCCACCCTGTCCGCTACGCAACTCCTTGTCACCCACTCCCCGCCTCCTGTCCACTTCACCTTGTCATCTGTCCTAAGGGAGCAGCGCCATGTGCCCACCTGCCCTTGCGGGCTCCCAGTGCACCTGCTATGTGGTTTTAGTTCACCTCCTGTTCTCTGCCTTCCCCGCAGACATGGGGATGGCTGTATGCTGAGGCCAGCGGTGAGCGGGGAGGTGGGTAGCAGGGCAGGGGTAGAGAGGTCCTGCTTCTGGGCTGGGTGGAGGCTGTGACGCTCCTGAGGGCAGAAGCTGGGGATGGGGGCTTGTGTCCAGTGCAGCTGCAGCGTGGAGGGCAGCACGGCCACTCCCACGTACCCTGCTGTTGTCAGCCTGTGACTGTAGGTGACAGCAGGAAAGCCCAGGCTGACCCTTCCACTGGAACCTTACAGGAGGCTCTCCTGCTGGCACTTCTGCCAGAGTCCCATGGCCTGCTTCTACCCCTCCCCGGCCTGGACGGGACTGCTCAGTGGGCGGGCCTTACCTTGCTTTGCTTCCGCCCGTCCAGAGCCTGTCCATGCTCCTCTGACCTCCTGTCTGCCTGAGCATGGCTCTGGTGCCCACCTCCTCCCTCCCCTTTCCCTTGCGGCCATCCTGAGACCCCTGCCCCCTGACACCCATGTGCTTCCTCCCAACTCCGGAAGCGGAGCATATGCAAACAGCCAAAGCCTCTGTGGTGCTCACCAACTTGGATGCTCTGGGGTGATTCCAGTTCCTACCCACGTGGAAGCTCCCTGCTGCTGTCAACAGTCCCCAGCCACAGCTCTCCCTGGCAACCCCAGGACAGGGAGCAGGGGTCAGTGGCTAGGGGTGCTAGGGGCCTTTTGCAGTTTTTTAGTGGCCCATGCGAGTGTCCCTGAGCACTGGCTTCTCAGCCTGGCCACTGTGGGATCCTCCTGGGGGCCAGTTAGGGGGCATCATTTCCTGCAGGGGTCCCTCAGGGGCAGGCTCACTCAGCTTGCGGACACTAACTGTGGCACCTGTTGCTTTGCTCTCTTGGTAAGAGCTAAAATGTCTTGGGAGCCCAGATGCCTAGGGTGCTGCTTGCTGCTGATGCTGCTCTTGTGAGGTTCTGGGTTGGGGAAGCTTCTGGAACAAACCCTACCCTGCGATCCTATTGGAGGCCCAGTGGTTGCACTGCTCTCTCCTGCTTGTTGGTGGAGTTCAGAAACGCACCCCTGCTGAGCGAGCTGGTCAGGGAAGGGAGTGACTTTCCCACACACTGTTTGCCCCACGAAAGGCCTGGGTCACGCCCGGGCTCTCCCGAGTCTCAGGCTGTGCGCTGCAGGGGTCCCATGGCTACCCTGGGTGGGGCTGGCAGGATTTCAACACCAACATATTTTCCAGCCGGACATGGGCGTGTCCCCGACACAGGGGCCTGGCTTGCACAGCTGCTTCTCGTTGTGTCGCACCCATAATGAAATAATCCTGTTTTTTTTCTCTCTCCCGGCATATGTTCTCATCACCAGGTGCAAATAGTCTATAAACCCGTGGACCTGAGCAAGGTGACCTCCAAATGTGGCTCACTGGGAAACATTCATCATAAGCCAGGTAGTCCTGGAGGGTAGCAAAGGCCAAAGGGCTGGATGCACAGTGCGGGGCGGGGTCGAGGGGGTGCCTTCCCAAACGGTGGGGGAAGACAGCCGGAGAGCAGAGTGCGAGGCTTGCACGGGCCTGGGAGGCATGACCGCCCTCGCTGGACCGGACTCAGGAGGATGGAAGCTGGCTGTGGACATAACTTGGTCCCTGCTTGGTGCTCAGCCATCAGGGAATACCTTGCCAGTTGCACCAACTATAACCCGAGATCTCCAGGCTAGCCACTGCCATGCCCATTCTGTGACTTGGCTGAAGCAGAAATGGGCAGCCTGAACTCCCCGAGGACAATGTTGCCTGCCTGCCTGTGCTGTGCCGTGGGCTTGCAACCCACCTCAGGTGCCACAGAGCTCCTGAAGTGGGGCAGACGGCGGGCGGGGGAGGTGATGTGAGGAGTCTAAGTGGGTGGAGGCTGCCGTTAAGACTCCTGCCATGAGTGTAGTGTGGGGCCCAGTAGGGGAGAGGGGGAAGAGGCTGCCTTCCGGGCGTGGTCGGGAGCTGCTCTTTCAGTGAAAACTGGCCCCCCTCTGGGCAGTCGCCCCAGTGCACCAGGAGCTGTTTCTCCAGGAAGTTCTGCCAGACAGCCCTGCCTCTTACGTGGCGCCCACATGTGGGTGTGGCTCAAGGTCGAGGAGGGTGTCTGGCCCTTTCCCTAGCATGCACTTGGGTATTCGGCATCCCTATCTCCTCCAGGGGCTGTGGCTGACTGGATGGGGGTGGGGAGAGACGTAGCCAAGTGGTGACTTTATAATCATTTCTTCTGGACCGGACTGCCATTTATCTTTGCACTGCGAAGAAGAGTTTGGACAGATGAAGCGAACATTCTTGAAGCCTGCTGCAAGGATTTGGTCTGACCACGTTCTGTGTTGAGGGGAGACTTGCTCGCTCGCTCTCCAAGGCTGCTCACTGCCCCTGTTCAAGTCACGGGCTCCGTCATCACCTGCTCTCCCCCAGAGCTGCTGGTGTGCTGGGTCCTCCAAGTCCCAGGAGAGGTGGCAAGTGGCTCTTGCGTGTGCTTTGTTCCAGGAGGAGGTCAGGTGGAGGTGAAATCTGAGAAGCTGGATTTCAAGGACAGAGTCCAGTCAAAGATTGGGTCCCTGGATAACATCACCCATGTCCCTGGTGGAGGAAATAAAAAGGTGAGGGGGTGGGGCAGGGGAGACTACATGTGGTGTGTTCATCAGGTCACCTAGCGCTCCAGAGGAAAGTGGAGGTTCCTGTAGTGCCTGCTTGGTGCCCCATCTCAGCAGCAGTCGGGCCACCAGGGTTTGGCTCTCGTTGTCCCTGCTATCACCTGGCAGCTTTAGCCGCTTGGGGTCTGTGCCCCACATGCAGCTACTGCTTGGTGTTATGATGGGAGCAAGGTTTTCTATTGGTCCATTCCTCCAGTGGACTGCCACAGCTGGGGCTGGGCAAGGTGTAAGCCGGCAATCAAGCCACGTCTCCCACACAAATAGAGGAGCTCAAAGTACTTGGGCCTCTTTCACTGCTTTCCCAGGCACATTAGCAGAGAACTGGATCAGAAATGTAGCAGCTGGGACTCGAACCAGCACTCCAACAGGGGATGTTACAAGTAGCAGATGAACCTGCTGTGCCATGATGCCTGGTATTCAGTGTTATTTACTCCTTGAGCTGATTGGGGGTTGGAAACTCTTGGGAGGAACGAGCAGCAACCCATGGAGGCAAGTTGGCACACCCCAAGCCAGCTGTGAGGTGCCAAGTCCAGGGAGCATAACACATTTTTCTAAATGGGTAACTAAGCAGACAATGGTAACAAATCCAGGTTTTGGCAGGGCTCTGTCGTGGCAGTGTGCACAAGGAGGCTGCTGGGGTCTTTGGGGGTGTGTGGCTCTGAGCAAGTGGGCTGGTGGCTTGGAGTTCCTCTTCTGCAGAGCCCTGGTGTCCACCGTGCTTCCCTGCCAGCCAGAAAGTTCTGAGAGTGGCAGAGGTAACTGGGATCTCCCACACTTGCTTGGCCCAGTCTTCTCATCTCTCCCTGTGGTTCTGGAGGGGCAGGGGTTCCCATCCTGGGTGTGTGGTGGGTGTCCCTCTGTACTTTTATGGAGTGCTAGTATGCTGATGGGGAAGAAAGCCTACATTCTTCAGCTCCCCATGGCAGCTGCCCCCTCTCCTAGCCCCCAAGTTTCCATGGTGTGTCTGCAGACACAACTGCATGCATGCAGAGGGGCCAGAGCCCAAGGTTCTGTTTGACCATCTGCCCTAGCTTGGTTAGGGATGTCCAGGTCTGGCCCCAGACCGAGTCTGACTTAGTGGCTCTGGACTGGGCCCGACGGTCTGGGTGAAGGAGAGGCTCAGCCACTACCTGTGTCTCTGTGGCCCGAAGGGAGCGCTGGGCTTGCCGCTGCTAGAAGGGTCACTTCAGCAAGATCTGCATCCCCTCCCTGCCTGGTCCCAGCATTTCTCCTTCAGTAACACTGGATGGAAACAGCCGCATCCTGGGTTGGTTGTGGGACTAAGACAATGTTCTGGAAGATTCGATTCCTAATGTACTGTAATTAAGAATGTAAAGTCAGAACCATAGACATAGGGCCAGCACTGAAGCATAATGAGTAAAGCTGATGGTGCCAGCACCATCATAGGCACTGGTTCAAGTCCCAGTTGCTCCATTTTCCATCTAGTTGCCTGCTGATTTACCTGGGAAGGCAGCAGAGGATAGCCCAAGTGCTTGGGTTTATTTACCCAGGTAGGAGACCCTTACGGAAGCTCCTGACTCCTGGCTTCACATCAGCTAAGCTTTGACTCTTGTGGCCATTTGAGGAGTGATTCCAGTGGCTGGAAACAGTGTCTCTCTTGTCTTCTGAATAAAAAGAAATTTTTGAAAAACCAGTTTTTAAAAAATGCCTAAAATTTATTTGAAACACAGAGTGGGATCTCCTATTTGTTGATCCATGCATTGAATGCCTACAACAGCCAGGCTGGCCAGGCCCAAGCCAGGAGCCACAGACTGCATCCAGGTCTCCTGAGCCCGTCCACTTGAGCCTCCCAGAGCACATTAGCAGGAAGGTGGACTGGAAGCAGTGATGAGACTAGGAGCTCCCTGCTGGGACAATTAGTGTTTCAAGCAGTAATGTGACTCTTCGTGCTACAACTCCCATTCAAGAAAGGAAGCTGTAAAGAAAATACGTAGCATTCTTGCCAGTTTGTAGCAAGTGACCTTTCCAATAGGATAATAGGAAAGCCCTGACCCCAAATGAACAAGACTGCCTGTGTAGCCTCACCAGGACCAGCTTTCCTATTTGTCCTCAGCCTGGCCCCCCTGCAAAGGAGGCTCTGAGGGTCCACAGACCCCTGAAACTTGGGCAAGCCCAAGAACACAGAGCCCATGTTTGCTGCTGAGTGGAGAAGCACTGTATCCACCACCTTGCGGGTCAGAAGGTGAACACTTGTTTTGCACCCTCCAGCCAGAGCTTCCTGTCTGCCACATCCCCAGTATCCTTGGAGGGGCCAGTGCACATGTATGGCCAACCCCACAGCTCCTCCTTCCATGCTTTCCTTTGCAGTCTGGCAGGATTCCCTGAGGTAAAGAACACACACCTTCTAACCCAACAGAGTGGAGTGTATCTCTGGGGGAGGTGGTGGCACCGCCTGCTCCTCACCCGGTCCTCCCGCTCCTACCCCTTCTCTCTGCAGATCGAGACCCACAAGCTGACCTTCCGTGAGAATGCCAAAGCCAAGACTGACCACGGGGCGGAAATTGTATACAAATCACCAGTGGTGTCTGGGGACACATCTCCGCGGCACCTCAGCAATGTGTCCTCCACCGGCAGTATCGACATGGTGGACTCACCCCAGCTTGCCACGCTAGCCGATGAAGTGTCCGCCTCCCTCGCCAAGCAGGGTTTGTGATCAGGCCTCCTCTGGGGCGGTCACAGTCGTGGAGAAGAGAGAGTGAGAGTGTGGGGAAAAAGCGTAATGATCTGGCCTTCCGCCTTCTCCCTCCTCGGCTGCTCCTCACAGATGGGTTAATTGGGTCATCACCTGCCCTGCTTTTGTCACTTGGCTTGGGCTCGTCTTCAAAACCATGATGGGAGAGACAGCTATTTTCCAAATTAACAGGGGCTTGTAATAAAACAGTTTGCAAACACACGTGGGAACCTGGCCACTCCCAACATTTCCTTGGGCAATTACTTTTGTTTTCCCCCAGAGTGGAAGAGGGAGAAGGAGCAGCTCTGCAAGCTGCCTCTGTTCCCATCTTGGGAGCACGCAGGGGCAGTGGCAATAAAGCATTTGAAACTTTGGGGGTGTTCATGGAGCCACAGGCAGAGGATGCTGACCTTGTGTGTGTGTGACTGGACGATGGGGGTGGCAAGGGGCTGGAGAAGAGCAAGATGGGAGAAGCAGACACTACCCCCGCCGGGTGCCATGGGTAAGGCAAAGGCCCAGGGAGTTACCCATGTCTCAGACCGTGAGGCCTCCAGTCATTGGTGGCCTGGGGTTTCCAATGGCTCAGTGTGGCCATGGGTGAAGGGAGGTTGGCGCCCTGTTGATCACCCCTTGCAGAAGACTGAGCTTGGTTGCCCATTCTAGTGTGCTGGTCACCTTCTTTGGCCCTTCAGGGCAGGGGTCTGGAGAGGAAGGGCTTTCATCCCTCCCCCCTGCCCCACAAAAACTGTTTTGCCTGAGTTCTTCTGAAGGTTGGAATTGCAGCTACGATTCTGGTCACCTCACAGACCTGGGACTTTAGGGCTAACCAGTTCTTTGTAAGGACTCGTGCCTCTTGGGGGACCCCAGCCTGGGGTGCAGGTGCCTCTGGAGGGCGTGGAACTCTGGAATATGGGTCCTGAGTCTCCCACTCCTCTCAGAGCTGCTGCAGCCCCCTGGCTGCCCCATCTTGCCTGTGTGTCTGCTGTGAGAGCCCAGTCACTGCCTGTAACCCCTCATGATGTCACCCTCTCCCAAGCCACACACACACACACACACACGTTTCCCATCCCATGGATCCCGAGGTGCCTCCCACAACCACCCTGTTGACCATGCATGGGTGTGCCAGATTAGGGCTGGGCCATGACTGGCTCACTTGAAGAAAGCCTTGGCCTGCCAGAGATGGCACCGAGATGGGCAGGCAGGGTTTGCAAGGCAACACCACACTCCATCTGTCCCCTACTGCCACCCCAGCTCGTAACCACTGGCCTGTGGATGGCCCAGCCACTGTTGAATTCCACGTGCATGTAACCAGCTGCCATGCCCCCAAAGGGAAATACGTCCCCAGGAAGCTCTTCCCTGAACCCCACTTCTCTGCTGGAGCAGCTGAACATATACATAGACCCGCCCTTCCCTCCCTCCTGTACCTGTCGTGCTGTAGTTGGATCGTCTGTTTATGCTTGGATTCATCAGAGTGATTATGGTAGTGGGGAAAAAAAAAAAAAAAAGAAAGAAAAAAAAGAAAGAAAGAAAAAAAAAAGGAAAAAAAAAAAAGCATGTATCTTGAAATGCTTTTGAAGGGGTTTCTAGCCCACCCTCACCAGGGTCCTGGTAGCTGAGCTGAGAGGTTTACACCAGCAGAGACCAGATGCTGACCCTAAGGACAGTCCTAGGTTGCAAGATTGGGATACAAGCCAGGGTGTTCTCCCTGGCCTGCCCAGCAGGACTCCCTGCATCCGGGTGGAGAACAGTGTACATGTGGCTGGCTGGCAGCTGTTCCCATGTGGGCACAAGCCTGGAGTCCCGCAGCAGCCCCGACAGGGAGTTACAGCTCTTGCCATAGCCGCAGACAGCTAAGGAGGCCATGTGCTCCTGGGAACACAGCTGCAGCCCCAGAAGCTCTGGCAGCAGCCTCCCCAGGGAGGGGTCTTTAGGTCACAGAGGGGATGCAGGTGGGTGACTGGATGTGCTCTTGGGGCCCAGGCTGCCTGACCAAGGAAGGGTGGCAGTTAGGAGACTATGTCCTCAAAGTCTTGGCCAGGGCAGCCAGACCAACAACCCCGTACAACCCTACCCAGTGCCTGGTCAAGGGGCACAGCCTTGGGCCTTGTTTCATCAGCTTTGATTTGGGTTTAGTTACAGGCAACTCAGTGGCTGGGTAGAGATCTCCATGCCACACCAACTCTCTGGGCCCAGAGCTTTCCATTGAGAGGCTCCCCAGTGTCCTTGAGTCCCAGCTATTCTCTGAAGAGGACATGATGAAGAAAAAAAGACAGGTGGCTTCAAAATGGGGTGGTGGTTGGATATGTGACCCCTCCCTCACCATTGCTGCTACTTGGGCCAGGTCTCAAGTCTTACACCTCTTCCATATCCTCTTCTTGCAAGTCCTGGGTCTGAAGAGCAGGGTTAGTGCTGGCAGGGGGATTGCGGAAAGATGGTGAGCTTGGGACTGTAAATAAGGATAGACCCCTCCCAGGCTGGGCATTCGTTCCTTCCCACCAGAGTCAGGGCCCCCAGGGGTGGGTTAGTTGGAACATACTATATACCTGATTCCTTGAAGTTTCCAATTCACTTTATCACTAGTTCCATGGAAATGGACTGCGTTGGTGAAGACTGTCCCATTTGCCACTGCTTACTGTGCTTCTGGGGGAGGGGGGAGAACTGTGCACAAGTTAGCATGGGCAGAAGTCAGAGTGCAGCACACTGCCCTGTTGATGGCTTTCTTCATCACCTCAGCCACATTTGCCACAGGGAGATGCCATGCCATTGCTGTGACAAGTCTTGGGGGGGGGGGGCTTGCTTTGCTGTGGCAGGAGCCAGCCAAGTCCAGGCTATGTAGGAAAGAACTTGAGATCTGATGGCCTAGGCCAGTGCCCTTTCATAGAGCACCATTCTCATAATCGCACTGCCTCCAAAGCCCTGGCAAATGTCCCTCCTAGCACTGGTACCTCAACAGCTTCTCTCCTGCTGGCTTGGCTACATAGCCCACTCCCAGGAGCTGGCAGGATACGTTCCTTATGTCTCTAATATCCCATGCAACGTCACAAGGTGGGGACCAGGGCAGAGGTGGTCATCAGTCTGTCCCGTTCACTGTCTATGGCTTCGTGATTCCGATTTCAGCTCTGAAAAAGATTATCCTGGGTCCTGACCCAGAGTCTCACCTCCTAACGGACTTTGCCCCATGAGGTTGCCATGCCGGGCAGAACAATTTCTGGCACCTGCAAGTCCCATGGCTTCTTTGATAATTTTGAGGGTGGGGGGAGGGGAGGGACACGAAATCAACTTAGCTTAGCTTCCTGTCTGTGAATGTCCACATAGTGTATTGTGTATTTTAAGGACAATTTACACTGTTGCTGTACAAGTGAATTTGGAAATAAAGTTATGACTGATTAAATAAGGTCTGCATTCATGGATTCCAAGGATAAGATAATGTCACAGGATACGGAAGATCTGACTCTATCCTTTTCTCTGTAACTCCTTTAGATAAAACAAATAGATCTTACAAGTGACCTATCATCTGATTATTCCTAATTATGTCAAGGTCATGACACTGACATCTTAGGTTTTCAGGTTCACATCTGAACCCCAAGGCACCCCCTTTTTCTGATGGGCTGACTGCCGCAGGCAGGGGTAATGGGGAGCACGTCTGAGCTGCAACCAGCCCAGCAGCAGAAGGCAGCCACAGAAACGCTCCCTCACAGGGCCCCACTCTGGGGGTCCCGATAGAGCACCTCTGCTGGAGAGCCCCCCTGAGGAGAGGGGAGAGGAGAGCGGGGCATAGAACAAGGCACATCCCTTCCTCTGAAGATGCTGTAACGCCAGGCACTCTCTGACGGAGAGTGGCAGTTTCCATGAATAAACAACTTAGCGGCACAGAGCTGGCCTCATGAGAGGAAAAGAACCACTGAGAGGCAAGAGGCAGAGGGTTCATGCAGACACCCCTGTTCTTGGCAGCCTTGCTGAGGATGCCCCCCTCTCTGGTGACAAGCAGTGACACTAGCATGCAGTCTGCCTGCCTCACACACAGCTCCAGCAGTCACAGCTACCTCAGCCCAACACGCCAAGAAACACCTGGCTCACAACATTCTGTAACTCTTTTTTTTATTATTTTTTTCCATTTTTTCTTCCTTTTTTTTTTTAAAGCACAAGTCTGTGCTTTGCGAACAGAATCAAGACATTAACAAAGATCAGCTTCTCTGAAGAAAAGCACTTCTATAGAACAAAGACAGCTACATGTTTCGCTGCCATTACACAGCTCAAAGCAGGAAAAGAAAATATTTACAAAATACAGTTTTTCAATTTTTTTACAATGCTAAAAGGGTTATTCAGAATTTTCAACCTTATAAATAGAAGAAGCACTTTATGCATAGGGATATGGTGCATTATTGTTTTTGAAAGAAACAATGACAAACCCTTTAACTTGCAAACAGAACAACAACAACAACAAAAAAAAACAACAAAAAATACCCACTAATGTTGAAAATTGTGAAAAAACCCCAACCATTAGCAGTTTGTCTACTGTTTTTATACGATTACAAAATGGCAGGAAAAAAAAAGTCCTTCCCCCCACCCCCTTTGGTGATGTGATTATACATGAAACAGGCACAAGGTTAACAAAGGAAGGTGACGTGAGGGATGGAAACCACAGCCAGGATCAGACAATGTTCCACAGGCAGGGGGTGTGTAAACAAGGAGGAGTCATCGAGGCTGACAGGAAGCAGGGAAGGAAACACAACGAAGTGGATCAGTGAGTAAAACCAAGACCACACAGCAGAGACGGACACTCACTGCCCAAATCCTCAAGTCTGCAGGGCACAGGGTCAGAGGTGACACATTCCTAACTACCTTCATAGCCCAGGATAGGTGGTAAGTATGTTCTGAATGGAAGGACTGGGTGTGTGTGGAAGGGGGACCCGTGAGGGAAGGGCACAAGGGACAGGCCAGGGGCAACCTGAGCAGCTTACTACAGCTGAGGAATACAGGTGGAGGAACAGAGCGACAAGGGGATGTCTGCTTGCTGAGGCCTCATGAGCACAACCAGCAGCAGGGGCAAAGAGGCAATGGTATGGGGAATGGGGACCCGGGCCAAAGCTGAGCTAGGCCACTCATGACGGGGACAAGAAGAGCCCAGACAGAGTGCCTTGCTCTGTCCCACCCTAACCTAAAAAGGCCATGCTGAACTGGAGCTTTCCATTCCCTCGGCGCATTTGGCATTCTACTCTGACCACATGGGTGACAGAGAAGGGTGATCAGCTAACTTCATAAATCCAGTGATTCAACAGTGCAGAGGATACACCCAGGACCAGGCAAGCAGGGTCTTATCCTGAAATTCTGTTTGCCAACTGGAGGAAGTGCTCAGGTGTGTGACAAGAAAACATAGAAACAAAAAGAAAACAGAAATCAGAACCAAGAGAAAAAATATCAAAGTAGGATCTAAATTTCTTTAAATTCACTAAAAACTGTGAAAATTTCTGGCATATGATGTTTGAATATCAAACGCAGAGATTTCTGAAGCTTTAATGCCAATAGTTACGTAGTCTGTTTAGATGCTTATCTCCCGCTCATCTGTGCGTTGGGCGCTGAGCTGTGACCATCGCTGCCAGATGCCGACTCTTGAGGGGAACCACGGGAGGGGAGGTGGGTGCCACCTCCGCTTCCCGGCCAGTCTTGCTGCCTGAGGTGCGCCGAGTACAGCGGGAGGCCCGTTCCTGTGCATCCGGCTGGTCCTCACACTCTGCCAGGGGACTGTACGCCAGGGGGAAGGTCCGCCGTTCCCATGGCTGCACAGACTGTGGGCAGACAAGGTACCTTTATGAGGACCCAATCCAAACCTGCCAGGCCCTGCCCTTGAACCTGTGAATGGGGACCCATAACCAGTCCCACCTAGAGTTTCTGGGGCTGTCCAAAAAGAACCCTTACATAGTGAACACCCTTTTAATAATGGCAGATAGAGTTCTAGCCTATCTTTTGACAGCTAATTTCTAGAGCAATCCTTTGTTTGGTCAAAACCGGGAGGTAAACTCTGTAGTGCTATCCCTCCCCAAACCCAACCTCTACCTGGCTTACTCCATGCAAAGATGGCGTCCCTTACCTGTTCATCTAATCCCAGCTCTGGTGTGGAACAGCGGGTGTCTTCATTGGTTAAGTGTCGCAGAGTGTCCCGAGCCACAGGGGTGAGAGGTGCTGAGTGCAGTTCTGGGCTAATGGGGCTCCTGGGGGACTGACCATGGGAAAATTCTGACAAAGAATGGCCACTGTTGACATCGGGGGAGGCAGGCTGGGGGGTGGAAGGGTTGGCACTGCCCAGCTGGGGGGTGGTCCGGCCATCTGATGATCTGTAAGACCTGTGTAGCAAGGAATGCAGATCTGAGTACCTGGGTAATAAGGGATTTCTGACCCGTTCATTACTGGGGGTAGGGGTTAGGGAGAAGGCATGAAAAAAGCCAGTCCCACCCAAGGGGGCTGAGGCTGACAGCACAATTCTTTCCTAGGATTCAACAACCTAGTCCTCCCCACTGCTGTCTGGAGGGATGGGTGCACAAGATGATGCCAAAGAATTGTCGTGCCTTCTCATCCCAAGAGTTAAGCAGAGCTGAATGACAGACACAAGCCCCTGCCAAAGCACCTAGTGATTTTGTGGGAGTAAAGAAACAGGTCCAGACCTAGGACACTGCAGTAGTAACAGTAAAGGTAAATTTCAGAGTCCTGAAACTTTCTCCTTGACAATCTTAGAGCTTCTGCCACTACAGGCAGTAGATGGGAACAGGTAGTTCTATAACTCCAGTGCACTATCCAGAAGGGAAAGGTCTTCAAAGCTCCTGCGACTCGATCATTGCCACTCCTACCAGGCCAAAACTCCACAGGTGATCAGTACACTTTGTCGACATTAGACAGTGGTCCCTCGGGAAAGGATCTAGCTTTTGACTATATTCCCACTAGTTGTAAGGACATTCCACTGTCTGCAGAGGAACATTAAGAGCAACTTGGGAAGTGGCAGTTCTGTAGACAAAGAAGCCCCTAAATCCCTATCCACCCTCCCTCCCTACAGGCCTTGGGTGCCTGTGCCTCGCTCATCACCTGCTGCCACGTCGCTGGGGTGGTACACTTGTAGTCCACAGCCACCGTGCCCTCTCCATTTCCTCACATTTGGCATGTAGGGCGGCAAAGGCTGCATCAGAGAGGTCCTCGATCTGCAACAGAGCAACTTCAATGATATCCTCATTTCTCTAGCAAGCGTGTTAAGTATGGGGAGACTGACTCTAAAACCAGCCCCTACCACTGCAGGCTCTTCCCTGCAGGACAGGACTATAAAAATGGCATCTGAAACTCCCAGGTCCGGAGACAACTGAAGTATGTGCACCTGTATATATTCTTGTAAAAAAAGAGGAACGACCATGCCCTTACCTCCTCATTCTCCTCATCAGGACTCCCCTTCAGAGACTGAAGATCAACCTCCCGCCAGCTGCAAATGAAGAAGGAACAATGATGAGACCCATGCAGGTTGCAGCATGGGCTAGGATCTATGGTGTCTCTGCAAGTGTCAAGTATACAGGCCTGAGCCTTTGGGTGAGCACTGCTTCCTCACCTTTATCAGAGCCCCACACCCCAGTGCTCGTAACGACTCTTAACAGGAAAATCTGGGTGGCAGTTGGGTTGGGAGACTGAGACAAGCTTAAGCAATGGAAAGATTCAGGAGCGACACACATAGCTCAGATACAATATACATGTGTTAGCATACACATTTCAGACCAATTAATAGTCACTGGACTATCAGGTTGTGATCTTTGGTTGGTGCAGTTATATACAGGACAGAAAGAGAGTACTATATCAAAACAATTCCACTATTAGGTCACTCCTTTCCTAAAAACAGGAGGTAGGCCAAAGAGGGCTGGGGCCCAAGCTTGGTCGGGGAAATGGGGCAACGACAGGAAGAAGGAGGGAGAAGGAATGATGAATTTAAGGTTTCTACCTGGGAGTAAGGATTTCCTTGTATTGCAGCTTCTCTACCCGGGTTGTTGCAGCAACAGACATTGGGATGACAATGTTGTTAATATCAAATGAGCTCTCTCCCCTCCTCCTCCTTACCGGCTGCTGTAAGACAAAGCTAAGTTTAAAGGAAGGCACAACTCTACAAACATCACATCATTCATCCAAGATTTAAGCAAGCCAAGATCACCAATCATCAGGCACTTGGGTCTTTGAGTACCCAGCTGTCAATGTGGCTCAAACCTAGGAAGTGATCCTCAGCAGCAAATCTCTCAGAGAATAAGTGGGCGGTCCCAAAGAATAATTCCCCATTTCTACAAACCCAGGATGTGCTCTTCCTTCAGGCACTCATGTGAGAAAGAGACTTCAGTTTTACAGCAGTGGGCACCAGGTCTTAAGCTAACAGCTGGGGTTCCCATTCCTCCATCAATAGCTCTCCTTTCAAATGTCTGTTTCTCTCTTATCTCCATCACTTAGGACTTACACGGGTCCCAAGAGCAATGCTTTAATTAAGCCTGTAGTTGACTCTTCCAATTTCAATGTTGAACTGCCTTATCCTGAAAACTGCCCAAAGGATGAGCCCATTTCAGTAGACTGTCTAATCTTGGATACGATGGAAATGATTCCTGCTTGGTGAGCTGAACTTTTCAGCTGAATCTGTACCTGCCATTTGCTCAACCCTTAGGGCACTTCCCTCATGCTCCGGTACTTGAGGAAACAGCTACGAGCCTTCCAGCTGCACAACAGAGATGAATGGATGGAAACACAGTTCACGCTTCAGGAGAAAAAAAATCTACTTCTATAGGAAGTGGATAATGTCAGACCCTTGGGGGAAACGGGACTCCCAACTGACCCAGTACCAGAAGTGGAGGTGGGACTTTCTAGTAACTGGTAGATCAAGGGGGGGAGAGGAGGGGATAAAGTAAGGAACCAAATGTTGGGTCTCGCAGATGTGAGAAAAGGTCTACCAGCTGCTTCCTTCCCAGACAGCAAACAGCCTACCTACACGGAGACAGACTGTTAAGTGAGCTGTGAGAGGCTTGAGGCAAACAGTGGGATGACAAACATGTTGCCACGGCAACAATACAGCTGAAAACCCCTAGGAGGCTGCCCTTACATGCAAACCACTAGCTGTAGTTAGCTTATGGGGCAGGGTTTAGTGAAGGAAGACCTCCTGCTCTACAACTCAGCCCTCAATCCTCTGTTTCCAAAGGGTGACAGAGGATTTATTCAGCAACCCAGGATACCCTCAGAGAACACTAAAAAGCAGCAATTCCTGGCCAGGGTTTCAGCTGGCAATTAGGATTTCAATGTACTTTTCACATTAATTTCTTTCTCAAGAAAATGAAGCTAATCTGCTACTGATCTCACAAGTAGGTTAATTGTATAACCTAATCGGTTGAAGAGGCTTACACTAGCCTGACCTGGCTGAGTTACGTCCAGAGGACTCTGCCACGGAAGTGGATGTCTCACTACAGGAAGCTTTAAGATACCTTTCTCTGCATCTTAGTCAACAAAGTATTGCCACCCCGCTCCTCCAATTTTCCAGGCTGCTGTTAGTGCCTCCAAGGGAGAATGACTGGAAGGCGCAGGTTGAGGGACTGCCTGTCATCCTCTACTTGGACTCTTGAAATGCTGTCAGATATTCATCTGGTCAAGTTTAACTATTCTTTCATGTTTATAGCTGGAGGTAAAGAGCAGGTCAAGAGAATGGAAAGTGTGTCCCAAGCCTGGCTGTACATCAGATTCAGTACTTAAAAGAAATAACAAGAAAAAGAAGAAACAGTTGTAGCAATCTCCCATCCTTCCTCTGATCTCAGTGCCGTTTCCCTAAGAGGCTCAGGGTATATAGCCACTCACTCCTGTGAAGTACTGCTGTGACTGTCCCACCCATCCTCTGGCTTCTCTTTGCGACTCCAATTAGATGGCCTCTCATGCTGTTACTAAATAAATTCAAATTCCTTGTTAAAAACTTGACAGTACAACCTTAAGTGCTGTACAGAATTTATACTCAATAAAAAGGAAAATAAAAATTTTAAATGATTCAGGCCTCAACTGACCTTCTCCAGAGGATTGACATGTCAGAAAAATATTAACTATGTGCTAGATTCAGGGTTCATTTTCTAAAAACTAGAATCAGATAATCTCAATAACCTTTGATTATGTTAAATCTTCTGTTGGACTATAACTAAGTCTGAGGGACATCAGACACCTGCACAGATGACCTTGGTATGTAGAAAAGGTACAGAAAAGGAGTTCAGGTCCGATTTGTAAGAGTAAAGGAGAAAACAACGCAAATTCCCACCTGTTTGCTGGAGCCTACTGAGTACATGCTGTGAACTTTGATGCTTCATTTACACTCTGAAGAGCTTCATAAAGTGCCTGTGCAAGGCCCCAACACTGCCTCCACTAGCATGGGGTACACTAGTAAGGGAGCTGCCTCTGCAATCAGACTGCCTGGGCTTGAATCACAATGAAGACCCTCACAAACTGCCTCATCCTATGCCATACACTTCATCTTGGACAGCCTCAGGTTTTTATGCCCACAAATGGGAATTCCTAATACCACCTATATTTCACAGGTCAGAATGGGATAACACAAATAAAGTACTTATCATGGGAATATAGTATAGTCCAATAAACACTACAGGTGAGAGTTTTATAATTACTCTTATTCTCACCATTACAGAAAGGACCTTCACTGGGTACAGAGCAGCTATGGGTGTATTGTGTGAGAGGGCACATCTTGAAGGATTTACCACATTAGAATAAAATCAATGGGACTGTGTGCAGAGTGGCTGCACGAATTGCTCTGTGGATAGAGTGTGGGACTACTGTAAAAGCCCACTGGTGAGAAATGTTCCTGAAAGGGCCTGCTGCTCAATTCATAGCTGTTGAACTGTTAAAACCACTTGAGCAAGACCCTCAGAGCATGCCCCACAACAGGGACCTGGGGGGGTGGGGTGGGAAATTGGGGTGGGCTTCTCCTTTAAAACCCCCTTTTTCTCAGATACATGAAGGAAACAATGTGGGAAATAATAGTCTTTCCCACTTTCCTGTAGCCCTTGAACCGTTTTACCCTAATTAACTATATAAAGATTGTCAAAAATATAATAAAAAAACAGAAAAAGTAAAAAGAAAGGACCTGCTGCTGTGGATCTGTCATTCTGTGTGTGCATAAAAAAACAAAAAAACAAAAACAAAAAAACAAAAAAACAAAAAAAAAAAAGAAAAAAAAGCACCAAAACATGAACTCATCTAGTTCTTTCTCTTCTAGAACACAAATATCCACAATTTACTCTTAGTATTACATTCAGACCCAGCAGGAGAGTACAGATGAGGAAATCAAATGTTTCCAATGTCTATAAGCTTCTATCTCTTCGTTCTTCCCGCTCATGGTCACCTTTTGGGGCCAACAGATAAGGGGCCATGCCACTGAGATCTGTATGAAACTTAATCTCAAATATTTTGAATAGTCATAGACCACCTTAAAAATGTCTCTACCATGCCTTCTATGGATGTCTCAACAAAGATCCTTCGCTACAATAAAAAACAACCTCAGAGAATGTCAGGTACTACACCACTTTTGATTTTAAAATGCTGCACACGAGGATGAGCCGAGTCCCTGCACATGCCCGCTACCCCTAGTGTCCTTCAGCATGAGGTTTAACTTCAGGAGGGTCCATGTGGCCAACTGCACACAGGTACTTACAGATGTGCTGGCTGTAACCTGTGCACTGGAGGTGGTGGGTGCTGAGGAGTCTGATGAGGTGGAGAGTTGTCGCACCAAAGGACTGTGTGGCTGATGGTGGGCAGCTGCCAAGTAGCTTGAACTGCTAATATCTGTGTGATGCTTCAACACTGTGGAAGTCAACAGAAAAGGGAGGGATACACAGCTATCTTAACCAGCTCTACTTCTAAGAGAAGCTAGGAATGCCAGCAATATACACTAAAGGCAAACATTATAGCGTTTAGCCTAAAGGTGAAGCAAACTGGTTGATGGGAGTAAGGGGCTGGGTAGAGGTTGCTAAAGCCAAAGAAGTGACCTGCATTTAGAAGCAGCAGTGTGTCCAACTACTCTGCCTTCCTAGAAGGTGAAGGGCAAAGCTGGCGGCATTTCAGACAAGCTGGGGCTGCACCCAAAAGCACTGAGCAAGTGCAAATGCAGGTAGGTAGCGGTGCTGGGCCTGACCCTACCTTCACTTCTCTCAGATGAATGGTCTCGCAATCTCATTTTGCTGTGGTTTGGGTCATGCACAGGTAGCGGTGGGTTGAGCAAGCGCTCTGCTTTTGGTGCAGTCACTCGCTCCACCACGGGCACGGCCCCCATATCGTCTAAGTGCTGCCTGTGGGTCCTGTCAGGCCGGGTTTGGTGATGGGACAGCTCTGAAGAGGGGAACAGAAAAAGAGCTGTGAAATACCTCCCCTCAAATCTTTTCTTACAACCATGGCAGCAGGATAGTCCTTTGGGACCGAAGCTTCTAGTCAATAGCACAATGGCTAGGACAAGCACAAGAAGTCCACAATCCAAGAGACATGACAGCAGCCTACAGCCTCCACTCTTGGGTGGAGCCAATATTACATCCCCAAAACCATGGTGTCTGGAATAGTTTCCAATGTTCACCCAAGAGCAAGGCCCACAGAGTGGTAGACTGAGCTGAATTTGTTATTAGTCAACTGGATTTCTCAACCCCAACATACTAGCACAGCAAACTGGCACTATGGGAATGTAAAAGCAATGAGGAATGACTGGGACACCAGGACTTCCTGATTCAGTAAAACTTACTGGCAGTTGTCAGGAAGGAGTTGACCAACTTGTGCCTGTCTTTACGAGCTGGATCTGGCAGACTGCCTGGCACTGGTGCTCTGTGCTTAAGTGAAAACTTTTTGGGAGGTTTGATTTTGTCAAAAGGCTTGTTATGCCACTGAGATTTCAGCATGCTCTGGAAGTGCAGGCTCGTGGGAACATCTGCAAGAAACACAAGCACCACATGTCAGTCCCAACACTTGACCTCAGGGCTCTCCTCCTCACACAGCTGCGCTCACCACCTTGCTAGTGGCCAAGATTTATATCATCTCCTTTATCTGTGCAAGATCCACTTGTGTGAACTTTACTGAAGGTCATTCTTTTACTTACGTTTGCCTTTACAGTTCCAAGGGAAGATGGGGGACCCAAAACACCTTTTGTTACATGAAGTTTTATCTGTATTCCTCTAAGTTGACTTCATTGGTTTGAAAAATGCCCTTTTCTAATTTTCTAGAGATCTCAAAAACACTTGGAAACTATTTCTACTAATGAAGCACTAATCTGATTCATTCATTGGACATGTATTTATGAGGTGTCTACAATGTTACCAGGTACTATACAGAGTACCACATACTGCCCATCCCTATAAAGTCTATTTTTCTTTCTTTTCACCACCTCCTACCTGGAGATTATTTAGATTTTGTATCTGACCAGATCTTCAAAAAAAATTCTTTTAAATTTCATTACCTTAATTTTGAACACTGTTTCTTAGAATATTTTTCCAAGATGATCTTGAGTAATTTCTTCAGAAAAGAGATTTCTATATTTAGAATTGTTTTCCTTATCAATCTTTAAAGCTAGTCTTTAATGGTCTTCCAATATCCAGTGCTGTACAAACAAGGGAATCTGACTCTAGGTGGTCTGGTTTTCGTCTTTTGTAAACTAGACAAAAAGAACAATAAATGTCTTCAAGTGTCTTGCTGTTGGCATGGCACTGACTCTGCAAACTAATGGGAGAAGTTCTGACATCAATCTGCCTTCATTCCACAAATGCAACATCTCCACTTATCTGTATTTATACTAGCACATACATATTAAAATGAATTTTATAAATATTAATTGCATTTTAAAATGGCAATCATGTATCTGATAATCTTAAAACTTCACAAGATTTTTTTTGTGTGTAAATGCTATCTACTTATCAGAGACTATGCTATATCTTTCTTATCTGGATAACATTTCTCTCTTTTTAAAAAAATTATTTTTATTTTTTATTGGAAAGTCAGATATACAGAGAGAAGGAGAGACAGAGGAAGATCTTCCGTCCGCTGATTCACTCCCCAAGCAGCTGCAACAGCCACAGCTGCGCAGATCTTAAGTCAGGAGCCGCTTATGGATCTTCCATGCAGATGAGGGTCCCAAGGCTTTGGGCCGTCCTTGACGGCTTTCCCAGGCCACAAGCAGGGCCACCGGGATTAGAACTGGCGACTATATGGGATCCCGGTGCGGACAAGGTGAGGACTTTAACAATTATGCAATCACGCCGGGACCCCCTCCTCTCTTTAACATTTATTTAATTTTTTTTTAAAATGGAAAGTCAGATTTACAGAGATGAGAGATACAGAGGAAAGATCTTCCATCCGCTGGTTCACTCCTCAAGGGCTGGAGCTAAACCGATAAGAAGCCATGCACCAGGAGTTTCTTCCAGGTCTCCCACTTGGCTGCAGGGTCACAAGGACTTGGGCTGTCCTGGACTGCTTTCCTAGGCCACAAGCAGGGAGCTGGAGGGGAAGCGGGGTAGCTGGGACATGAACCAATTCCCAAATGGGATCTGGGTGTATGTAAAATGAGGACTTTAGCCACTGAGTTACCACACCAGGCCTGATAACTTATTTCTTGATCTATCAGTTAGTTTGGGTAGGGCCTGCAACAATGACTTATGACAGATTTTCCTATGCTTTCAATATTTGATACTTCACACAGCAGCAAGATGTGAGTCTTTCTTGAGTTCTGCAAAGCTTTCCAGGTCATTTTAGTGTAAAAGCAGCACAGACTCTAGCTCTCAGCTCCTTAAGGAGTCATTGAGCACCAGGGACATCATCCCATCCCCAGCCTGAATGTGCACCACTGCTTCACCATGGAGTGAAATTCCCAACACTGCTTAGAAGGCACTGGGGCAAAGTGGCAGAAGCAAGAACAAGGGAAGGAAACTCCACTTGGCTACTTCAAGATGCATCCAATTAATTATCAAGACAAACATCAGGGTCCTAATTTCTACTCGGTCCACTTCAACTCTGGACAAACCACTTCTTCTACATAGCTTTCATGCATGTATCTTAAGATATTATTCTGTTTTTCACCTTTCAAAAATCACTGCAGGGATCAGGACTGCGGTACATCAGATTAAGCTGCCTCCTCATGCTGGCATCCACACTGACACCAGGATGTCAGCAAGAGTCTTGTCTGCTTGGTATCTAACCCAGCTTCTTGCTATAATGCTCCTGGGAAATCAGCCAATGATACCCAAAGACTTGGGCCCATGTCAGCCGCTTGGGAGATGCAGAAATATCCTGATTCCTGGGTTTGACGTGGCTGTTTTGTCCACTTGGGAAGTGAACCAGCAATTAAGAAAAATACTCATAATCCATTTCTTTCCACTTTCTACTCTGCCTTTCAAAAAAAATGCTGAGAAAAAAACCACTATATATCTCACCACTGAGAGTATGTGTTCTTTCTTCTCCAAAGCTATTAATACTCATTCTACTAAAACTAGATTTTTATTTTAAAAAAGATTTCTAAAGATAAGTTCAATTTGAGAAGAAGAGTGTACAGAGGAGACCCTTCCATCCACTGATTCACTCCCCAAATGACTGCCATAGTAGAGCCTATCTGAAGCCAAGAGCCAAAATCCTCCTTTAGGTCTCCCCACACAGCTGCACATGCCCAAGGCCTTGGGCTGCCTCTGCTGCTTTCCGAGGCCATAAACAGGAAGCTGAATTGGAAGCAGCAGCTGGGACACAAACTGGTACCACAGGCAGAGGTTTAGCCTACTATGCCACGGCATTGGCCTCTCAAGTTTCTAAATATTTACAGTTTGGAGGGAGGAATAAATTTACTTCATCAAACTCAGTCTTATGTGACAGGCACTGTGTTTATTCTTCATGCCTATGTCACTTAATGTACACAGTAATTCCATGAGGTAAGCAACATGACGTTTACATTCAAGATAGCAAACAACCTTAGAGGAGTGATTAACTATGTCCAAGGTTACAGTTTAGTTGAAGTAAGATCTAACATTCAAATACGGGTTTACTACATCCAGGACCTGGGGAGGGTGGGAAATTGGGTGGGCCTTCTCCCTTAATACCCCGCTTTAAACATGAAGGTAACAATATGGAAAACATACTAGTATTATCCACTTTCCTGTAGCCCTTGAACCTTCTTACCCTAATTAACTATGTAAAGAATGTCAAAATAAAATTTTATATTAAAAAAAAAAAAACAACCAAATATGGGTTTATTACATTCTCTCTCTTTTTTTTTTATTATTATTATTATTTTTTTTTCATTGGAAAGGCAGATATACAGAGAGGAGAGACAGAGAGGAAGATCTTCTGTCCGATGATTCACTCCCCAAGTGAGCGCAACGGGCCGATACTATGCCGGTCCAAAGCCAGGAGCCTCTTCCGGGTCTCCCATGCGGGTGCAGGTTCCCAAAGCTTTGGGCCGTCCTCGACTGCTTTCCCAAGACACAGGCAGGGAGCTGGAAAGGAAGCGGGGCTGCCGGGATTAGAACCGGCGCCCATATGGGATCCCGGGCGTGCAAGGCGAGGACCTTTAACCACTTGCGCCACCGCGCCGGGCCCTTTATTACATTCTCAACGCCTACACACTCTTATGGACTAAAAGGATATACAGGCTTAATTCATGGCAAAGCCTGACATTTGTCAGATTATTCCCAAGGAAGATGAAAGGATACAGAGTCGTGCAGCGTTAAAATCATCAATTGAAAGGCGGAATGATAGGGGTGGGACAGGGTGGTAGACATGCTGCACCAGAGGATTCCCTCCCCAAATGCCCAATAGTCAGTGCCAGGCCAGGTGGAGGACAGGAGCTCCACTCAGGCCCTTAGCTGCTGCCTCCTCAGAACAATGCCAGGAAGGCAGAACCAAGACTCAGTCTGGCTTTCTGACAGGAGATGCAGGTCATCCCAGGGACCTACAGTTCATCCTGGTTCCAGTCACAGAACACATTAACCACTCTTCCATAATATATGCCATGGGTTTCACGACATGCTAAAGAACAAGTTTGAATTCTGGGACTTCCCAGGATAGGAACAAGAACAAGCAAATTAAACAGCCAACATTCTCAGGGATGATTTTATCCCCAAGCTGAAAGACCTCTCTGAGAGTAACTACTGTAGCTTTCATCTGCAGGAACTGGCATCCCATATGGGTGCCTGTTCATGTCATGGCTGCTCCATTTCCAATCAGCTCCCTGCTAACTGCCAGGGAAAGCAGCAGAGGATGACCCAAGTCCATGGAACCGTGCACCTGCACGGGAGTCCCTGGCTATTGTGCTTGATTTGGTTCAGCTCCAGTCACTGCAGCCCTCTGAGGAATTAATCAGTGGATGGAGGATCTTGTCTCACCTTCTCTGTAAATCTGTCCTTCAAATAAAGTGGATGTTAAAAAACATACATTAAAAACAAAATTTTGGAGGAATAGGCATTTAGCCAGGTACTTAGGATGACAGTTAAGAAACCCACATTCTCGCACTTGGGTTTAAGAGCTGCTTCTGGGTTCTGACTCTATAGCTGGACTCCTACTACCACAAAAATTGCAATCCCAGCTCCTGTCCTCTGGATCCACAACTGGGCATTTGCACAGTGAACCCATGGATGGGAGCTCTTTCTACCTCTCAAACAACAGATAAGAAGATTCATTTATTTCCATTTCTATAACAGCTACGTGAAAAAAAAAAAACACAAAACCATCCTATCAATTAATAATCTAAAATAGCGCAGTGGTATTGATGGCAAAGATTCCCTGCTCTAATTCAGAGGGGAGAGGGAACGTGTGTTGGAATACAGCACTGCCTAGGAGAAGTCTGTCATTCACAATAACCTGAAAGGGGAGGCTGAGCTGGAATTTGTAGATGGCTCAAGAAATAGGAAGATTTCCTGTAGCCCTTGTCAGTTCAATTATCGTAATGTAAAAGGACTCCAAAAGCAGAGTAATTTTTTTCCTTTTTGTATTTCCTATTGTTCTTCCAGCCTACAACGAAACGAGGGGAAAACCAGAGAAGAGACACAAGAGATTTGGATATGTTGAAAACATCCAGGAATCGGAAGCAGGTCTGTCTCAAATCTGGGTGCCATCACTGAAAAGAAGGAAACATCATGAACAAGCAGCACTTAAGCGGAATTCATAATTAAAATCCAGCAGCAGGGTGAGGAAGAGCTGGTTGCACTCTAGTTTATTTGAGCTTTCTTCACTCTGTCTGCGATCGACACAGCTAACACATCATTCCTAGAGGACAACTACAGATAGTTACTATCCATCAGTCTGAGAAGGCACAAGGGAAAAGAGAGGACATCTTCTTGTTATTGTTAGATTAGACAACTGCTGAATCTCTACATTTTGGCAGGCTGAATTAATGACTCAATGGAAATCCCCTCTTCCTTTACTTAAATGAAAACTGGCATGATTGTAGAACACCTCCTTTGTCCTCGAGTTGAAGTGCTAAGCAGAAGCAATAGTAACTTCCCAACTTAAACTGTCTGAATAAGCACTGAGGGATAAAACTGTTTGAGGGACTCAGGATGCTATAAGTCTATGTTTTCTTTCAATTACTCCCACTTAAAAACAAACAGGAATGGGGATGGGATGGTGGTATAGCACACTAATCCTTCTCATGCAGCACTGGTATCCCAAGAGAGTGCTGGTTATTTTTGCTGCTCCAGTTCCAATTCAGCTTCACGCTGATGATCTGGGAAAGCAGTAGAGGATGGCCCAACACCTTAGGCCCTAGCACCCACATGAAAGGCCCAGAAGAAGCTCCTTGCTTTGGATCAGCTCATCTCTGGCTGGTTTGGCCATATGGGGAATAAACCAATGGATGGAAGATTCTCTAAATGTTTGGGGGGGGGGGGGGGAGAACGACCAGGAACCTGCTTACATTCACTGATCAGTGAACAAGACTGATCTCACAAGTACTACAGGTGTACATGCCCACTCTCAGAGAACAGCAGTTAACACATGAAATCTGTAGAGAATTAGAAATCTGAAACAAACTAAAATCAGAACCTCAAAGTGAAATACAGAATAGAATACAGAATTACATGAGAGTGACACAAAGAATTTCCTAAATTCCATTACCTGCATAGGCAGTTTGATTCAACTGTTAGTACCAGAGAAGATACTACAGTTCCTTATGAGGCAGTTAACAGGAAAATAAAACTGATTAATATATACTGTATCTCAAGTTACTGTTTCTGTAAACAAAAGGTGTATGAGAAAACCTCAGCTTAGGCCCACCACAGCCTGACATCCCATGATTCATTTGGCTGTTTACCTGCCACTTTCCACCATTTTCTCAAGCACACTTTATCGGGGTGTTTGTATTGCTCACTTCCTCCTCCTGCAGGACAGTTATGGGAGCCTAATCAGTACTATGGCCCGGTCCCTAAAGAACAAAGATACTCAGCACCAGCAGGTGGCGTGCTTATTAAGCTGTTTACACAAAGTTCACATTCTCAGGATTATATATACTTAACTGATTAGGTGAGTGATAAGGAAGCAAAGCCCTTCATGCTGGAGTCTGGAGAGATTACACCCTAACACCCTCATCTTTCACAGCCAGGCACAAAGCCGCCCATAATTACACATTCATTGCATTTATATCCCATCTAGACACATTTAGTGAGGCATGGAAGGCAAGACCAAGGCAGCAGACAGAATTTAGGATGAACAGAAACAGCTGGACTTAATTCTAAAACTACACAAAGTAGCTAACAGACATCAAATTTAGAACAGCTAAGCATCATATTCTCAAACACTTAATAGGCTACCCCAGACATGCAATGAGTTAAGATAATTGGGGGCTTGTCATGGTTGCCTAGTCAAGTCCTTGCCAACCATGTGCTGGGATCCAATTTGGGCACTGGTTTGCTCTGCTCTCCATCCAGCTCCCTGCTTGTAGCCTGGGAAAGCAGTAGAGGATGGCCCAAAGCCATGGGACGCTGTACCCATTGGGAAACCCAGGAGAAGCTCCTGGCTCCTGACTTCAGATTGGCTCACCCCTGGCCGTTGTGGCTACTTGGGGAGTCAATCAGTGGATGGAAAGTCTTCCTCTCTGTATATCTGACTTTGAATTAAAAAAAAAAAAAAAAAAAAAGGCTGTTGTTAGAAGGTGTGTGTGTGTGTGTGAAGGAAAAGCAGTATTCTGGGGAATGAAAATGAAGATTGCACGGTACTGCGGCACACTGGATGGTGTCATGGCACAATGAGTTAAGTCACCCACCACCTGTGAAGCCAGCATCCCCTAACAGAGCATTGGCTGTATTTTTTATCATGTTTTCGTGAACTAGCAGATGGAAGATCTCCAACTTTCACCTTCTCAATCTACCCTTCCTTTCAAATAAAAGAAAATGTTAATATTATGGTTCAGTTAAAAACCAGAAAATATTTTTTATCCAACTTTGGGATGTAAATGCGTTTAGCTTCAATAACTGAAGGAAGTATCTTCCTTTTAAGTCCACGTGGATTTTAGACAAAGTGAACCACAGACAGTGGCAGGACATAATTAGTCAAAGCATCATCAGGGCCTCCTGGGTCGTAACTGGTAGGATGCTGGAGCCAGAGATGGGATTTGGAACCAGACACTCGAATGTAGAACGAAGGTACTCCTGTTAGGCCAAACACCTCTCCTCCTAACTTCAGTTATTAATTTCATTAACCTTTACTGTATGACAGATAAGGCACATAATTGTGTCATGAATTATAGTTTACACAAAATTAGGTACTACCTTCACTTTAAATAAAAAAATTGAGTTTCTAAAAAGATTTATCTATCAATTTGAAAGTAAGAGTTACAGAGAGGGAGAGATGGAGACAGGTCTTCCATCCAATGGTTGACTCCCAGGTGGTTGCAATGGTCAGGCTCGTGGAGGCCAGGGCTAAGCCTGGAGCTCCCTCTAGGTATCCGATGCACGTGGCATAGCTTACTGCATTACGCCATGAAATCAGCCTCTCCCACCTCTTGTTAATTTTCTTCTACACAAGGAAAGGGTGTTCTTTTTTACCATAATAAATGTTGTGTGAATCATATACCAAAGTGAAATTTTGGATGCCAAGGACACAGAACAAAGGCACCATTTCTAAGAATTCATACATACTCTGCAGGAGCATTCTCTGCGATGTAGGTTTAAGAATAAATTTTCAATTTTTTTTTTTTGGTGGGAGAGCTGATGTGTCTTAGGTAAATGCACCAACTGTAAAGCTGCCATCCCCATATGGGTGCCAGTTTGTATCCCAGCTACTTCAGTTCCAATCCAGGTATCTGCTAGTTGCTGGGAAGAAGTAGCAAATGCTCCAAGTGGTTTCGTGGCATAATGCAGTAAGCTGTGCTTGTAACACCACTATCCAATACTGAAGCATCAGTTTGAGTCCTGGCTTCTTTGCTTCCCATCTAGCTCCCCACTAATGTGCTTAGATAAACAAAGACGCACAAATACTTTGACCCCTGCCACTCATGTGGGAGACTCAGACTGAATTCCTGGCTCCTGGCTTCAACCTAACTCTGGCTGTTGCAGCCATTTTGGAGAGAACCAGCAGGTAGGAGATCTCTCTTCTTCTCGTTGCCACACAGCCTTTCAAATAAACAAACAAGCAAACAGCTCTTAATACAAAACAAAACAAAACACAGAGGTGGGGAAATAGGTGGAAAAGGAGGACCAGCAGAAACAGGCTTGTCCTGCAGGCAACTGGTAGAAAATTATTGTATGCTGAGTATCCACGCTTATGTATAGCCTGGAAAGTCATCACATAACCAGCTACCTCAACAAGAGGACACTCCCAGATAGGAATGCCCATTTTGTTGTATATTATGGAATACAGACAACACATCTTTTTTTTTTTTTAATTTGCATTTGCCAAAGAAATTTATTTACTTACCCATTGTCTTTGTTTTGCATTGTATTGCTTTAGTAGAATACCAGACTGGGTAATTTATACAGAAAATACATTTGTCTTTTATGATTCTGAAGACTGCAGACAACACATTGTAAGAGATATACATGGACCAGAGATTTTTCTGTACTTGGAGGCAACTGACTCTAGGTTCCTACTGACCACTCAAAGAGCCAAAGTGCAATCTGCATAAGCTGGATTCAGGGGAGATCCGGTTTGTTGGATCTCTTGTACAAAATTTTAGAAAATGAGTTTGTTGACAGGCAGTGTGACCTGGAGACTACCTGAACTGCACCAGGAGCATAGCTGATTTCTTGTACTTAATTTACTGAACTTCATATTCTGTAGTCTTGCTTACCATCTGGAAATGCTAGAACAGGATGAACACAAGCGTCCAACTGGGAAAGACGTTCCAACAGAGGGGCTTCGTAGTGGATTTCAGGAGGCACGATGGTGACACTGCCTGAACCACACAGTGCACAGAAGGGATTCACATCACAGCCAGAACGGAGTGTGTTGTTTCGGTGAACCTGTGAAAAGCAAAACCAAATTCAGAGATAATTCGGCACTGGTTAAAAGCCAGCTCCCTTGTTAATTATCCTGAAAAATCAGAAAACCTTTTAAGACACCTATGTGACACTGATAATGAAAGCTTACTCAGGAATCTGTCACCTTAAAAGATGCTAACTCTGCCTTGTTGAGAACACTTCACAAACCCTGTGTTTTCACCTCCTTGTTCAACTTCCTTCTAAGATGAAGAGCTGGTCCACAACGAGATGGGAATTGACTTGTCTTTTTTAGTAACTTCATTCATGAGCTTTCAGTAACACAGCTTTTTCAATCACACTTCTGTATCTCCTCCACAATTCAGACGGTCTCAAGAGGGCAGAATACTCAGGCTACCAGGAACACACAAACTACTCTTTAAACTCGTCTGAAACCCACTACTACAAAACTCATGCATCAATTATGGGAATGATTTGTAGAAAAAAAACAAGAAAGTTTTTGGGTTAGAAAAATGAGACAAGATCCTAGAAGCCAGGTTCTATCAAGGAAAGCCAAGAAAACATCCCAATTCTGTAAACCTGCAAGAACTGCATTTATTTCAATCAGACACATCTCTTGAAAATGGCTCTGCTTTGTGGACATGTATAAGAAAAACAAACAATGTGTTCTTTTATCAATATTCCCTAACTGTTTCCATCTAGCAACCGTATAGATGAATGTCAGAAAAGATTTTCTGAAGGTCAGATTGGGCAAATTATACTTCAGCAATAACTTTTTTTTAATACTTTACTGGGCCTGGCGCGGTGGCACAGTGGTTAAGGTCCTCGCCTTGCACGCCCGGGATCCCATATGGGCGCCGGTTCTAATCCCAGCAGCCCCGCTTCCCATCCAGCTCCCTGCCTGTGGCCCGGGAAAGCAGCAGAGGACGGCCCAAAGCTTTGGGACCCTGCACCCCGTGTGGGAGACCCGGAAGAGGCTCCTGGCTTCGGATCGGCATAGTATTGGCCCGTTGCGCTCACTTGGGGAGTGAATCATCGGACAGAAGATCTTCCTCTCTGTCTCTCCTCTCTGTATATCTGCCTTTCCAATAAAAATTAAATAAATCTTTAAAAAAATTACTTTATCTAATCAGACTGAAAGGCAGGTAGACATGAGTGAATCTTACACCCACTGTCTCACTCCTCAGATACAACAATTGGGGCAGAAGCAGGAAGCAAGAACTTGCACTGAGGTCTAGGTCTTCAACAACAGAAGAATGACAGGGATCCAAGTACCCATAGCTGCCCAGAGCGTCTATGAGCAAGAAGATGCAAATGGAAATAGAGCCAGCACTCCAATAACAGACACGAGTATACCAAGGAGCATCCCAACCACAGTGCAAACTGTCTATTCTGGAAGCAAAAATTCCAGTAAGAGGCAATCTGTTGATGCTACTGAAAGGAAAAGATACTAACCATAAAGATGACATTCCTGCACAGACATAACCTTGTGCTTTTGGGGAAAGCATCATTCTGTAAGGAGACATGACTATACCAACAGGGATGAAAATCACACCGTATACTAGATGAATGGGAAAGTTTAGGAAAGCAGGTTAGAATCTAGAAACTGCACCAAATGTTGAATATTAAAGGCTAGAAAAAGATTTTCAAGTAATCAAAACAAGAAGCCCTAAAAAAGAAACATTTATTTCCCCTTATATATTGCCCCAGAACATCAACAACATTCCATTTTATGTAAAAGACTACATTCCTTGGGCCCGGCATAGTACCTAGAGCAGCATGCATTGGGATCCCATATGGGTGCCAGTTTGTATCTTGGCTACTCTACTTCCCTTCCAGCTCCCTGCTAGTGGCCCGGGAAAGCAGCAGAGGACAGCCCAAAGCCTTGGGACCCTGCGCCTGTGTCAGAGAGCAGGAAGAAGCTCCTGGCACTGGATCGGATCAGCTAAGGCTGTGTAGCTACTTTGGGAGTGAACCAGCAGACAGAAAATCTTTAACTCCGTATCTGCTTCTCTCTGTAAATTTGACTTTCCAATAAAAATAAATAAATCTTTTTTTTTTTTTCAAAGATTTATTTTTTATTGGAAAGTCAGATATACAGAGAGGAAGATCTTCTGTCCGATGATTCACTCCCCAAGTGGGCGCAATGGCCGGTGCTATGCCGATCCGAAGCCAGGAGCCAGGAACCTCTTCCGGGTCTCCCACACGGGTGCAGGGTCCCAAAGCTTTGGGCTTTGGGCCGTCCTCGACCGCTTCCCCAGGCCACAGGCAGGGAGCTGGATGGGAAGTGGAGCTGCCGGGATTAGAACCGGTGCCCATATGGAATCCTAGCACGTTCAAGGTGAGGACCTTAGCTGCTGGGCCCAATAAATCTTAAAACAAACAAACAAACAAACAAAAAAACACCACTATGACTATATTCTTCAAGTGAATAAGTAAGTGGATTTAGCAGAGATTAAAAAGATAATGTCAATGGGGGGACAATGCAATGGTGTAGCAAGCTAACCCCCTTTGAATGTGGCAATGGCATCCTAAATGGGTGCTGGTTTCAGTGGCAGACACTCACTTCAGATCCAAGGTTTGGGCCCCTGAACCCACAAGAACTGGTAAAACCTTCTGACACCTGGCACAGGCTGGGACCAGACCTGGCTGTTCTGTCCATTTTGGGAATAAATCAGTAGATGGAAAATCTCATCCTCTTTCTGTAATGCCTTTAACACACACAAAAAAATTACAAAAACAAATTTAAGAGTTGCCCTTTTGGAGTTCAACTTTACTTGATATCCACTTCCGGGGCAGAGAGGTGGAAACAGACCAATTAACTGAACAAGCTGTAAGACTAGCCTAATAAAGAGAAAAGGGCTGGAGATCTAGGTCTGCACATGGCAAATGTTGCTTATGACCTTAAAAAAGTCAATAAATAAATAAATAAATAAAAAGCACTCGTAAGGTGAAAAACTAGCTATCTAAATCTATTTGGTTTTTTTTTTCTTAAGATTTTATTTATTTATTGGAAAGTCAGAAATACAGAGAGGAGGAGAGACAGGAAGATCTTCCGTCCAATGATTCACTCCCCAAGTGAGCGCAACGGCCGATGCTATGCTGATCCAAAGCTGGGAACCAGGAACCTCTTCCGGGTCTCCCACATGGGTGCAGGATCCCAAAGCTTTGGGCCATCCTCGACTGCCTTCCCAGGCCACAAGCAGGGAACTGGATGGGAAGTGGAGCTGCCGGGATTACAACCGGCGTCCACATGGGATCCAGGTGTGTTCAAGGCGAGGACTTTAGCTACTAGGTCACGCCGCCGGGCCCAATCTAAATCTATTTGTAAGTGGAACATTATATTGCAACCTATGTCAGTTTCTAATGCTACCCTAGATAAATGTCTAAAACATTCAGGATAAAATAAAATCGTTATAGTAAAGCACAAACAATATGCAAAGAGAGGCATATACAAAAGCACTGATGTGAATTTTTAGTGAAAAAAATCACATTATATATAAAACCATGGGGTCTGGTGCAGTAGCCTAGAGTCCTAGCCTTGACCACACTAGGTTCCCATATGGGCGCCAATTCTAATCCCGGCAGCTCCACTTCCCATTCAGCTCCCTGCTTGCAGCCTGCGAAAGCAGTTGAGGATGGCCCAACGAAAGCCTTGGGACCCTGCACCTGTGTGGGAGACCTGGAGGAAGTTCCTGGCTCCTGGCTTCAGAATGGCACAGCACCAGCGACTGCGGTCACTTGGGGAGTGAATCATTGGACAGAAGATGATCCTCTCTGTCTCTTCCTCTTTGTATATCTGACTTTGCAATAAAAATAAATAAATAAATCTTAGGGGGGGAACCCTGATGTTCAAATGCTGTACATTTCTGAATGACACTGAATCAGTAAACTCAACATGTTTGCTTAAAAAGGAATTGTTTAAGATTAGTCTTCTTAAAGATTTATTTTTATAGGAAAGGCAGATTTTTACAGAGAAGGAGATACAGAGAGAAAGATCTTCCATCTATTGGTTCACTCCCCAAGAGGCTACAACAGCGGAGCTGATGAGATCCAACGCTAGGAGCCAAGAGCTTCTTCCAGGTCTCCCACCTGGGTGCAGGATGGGAAGTGGAGCAGCTGGAACACAAACCAGCGGTCACGTGAGACCACAGCGTGTGTAAGGCGAGGATTTAGCCACAGAGATATCACATTATGCCCTAGCTTGTTTTTTCAATGAGGACCTCAAAAATGTTAAAGAACAGATGATCTCCATTAATTAAAATAGTGGGGGCCAGGGTTGTGGCAGTGGGTTAAGCCACCTATTCCCAGGTATGCATCCCACATTAGAATGCCAATTCAAGTCCTGGCTGTTCCACTTCCAATCCAGGATTCTGCTGATGCTCCCAGGACAGCAGAGGATAGACCTCTGGGCCCTTGCTACTCATTCGGCAAGCCTGGATGGAGTTCCAAGCTCCTGGCATGGTCTGCCCCAATTCTGGCTATTGCAGGCATTTAGAGCCAGTAGGTGATGTTTTTTTGTCTTTCCCCCTCTACTTGTTGTTCTTTCAAATAATCTAAAAACAAATGAACAAAAATCGGAGGGGTTATTACTGTGGCATGGCTAGTAAAGTTGCCTACGGCACCAACACTATTGTGGGCATTGTTTCGAATCCCTGCTGTTTCACAATCTATCCAGCTCCCTGCTAAAGTGCTTGGGAAAGCATCAGATGGCGGCCCAGTGCATGATCCCTTGTACCTATGTGGGAGATCCAAAGTAGCTCCTGGCTCTGGACCAGCCCAATTACTGTGGCCATTTGGGGAGTTAACCAGCAGATGTAAGATATAAAATCTCGCTCTATAATGCTGCTATTAAAAATCAATGTCCCCCCCAACCACTTAAAAAAAATCACTAAGGGCTTTGCCAGGAGAAGGAGGAATGGGGGAGAAAGAGAGAGAATGAGCAAGTATATGCTTTGTTGGGTGACGCACCGTGCCATTCCAGGACTCTGTCAGCAACAAATGGCCTCACCAGAGGCCAAACAATGGGGCCTAGCTGATCCCAGACTATGAACCACCATAAATTTGGAGACCAAATAAACCTCTCGCTTTATCAAGGAAGGCTGCCTCAGATATTTCTTAAGGAAGAGCAGACTTCAAAGATTACTGTAGTCAAGGAGAGAACAAGCCTGAGTAGGCTGTCACTAGGCAGACACAAGACTGCTTAAGAATGAATACTATGACTGGAAGTGTCCCCCAAAATAGGTTTAAATCAATGACTTATTATTAATCATATAATCCAGTTACTGCATGACAGCAGATTAATTATTTGAAAAATTGGCAAGTAAATGATATTCAGGTTCTTCAAAGTATAAACATGTAACTGTTAACAAATTTGCCCTTATAGATATATTCTAGCTAAAAAAATAAAAGAAATGGTATAAGCAGAATATCATCATTCTTCAACTCTTAATGAAATATTGGGTTCAGGATACAATTACCAATGGTCAACATAAAAAGAATGGCCCACTTTTAAAATCGACTTTTAATTATTTGTAAGGATGAGCAACAGAGACACACAGAGAGCCCTTCCACTCATTGGTTCATTCGTCAAATATCTACCTACGGTTGGGGTTGAGCTAGGCCAAAGCCAGGAGAATGAAATTCAACTCAGGTCTCTAGTTGGATGCAGAGATTTAAGCATTTGAGTCATCACTTGTTGCTTCCCTGGAATATACCGCAAGAAGTGGGATGGGTAGTGGAATCAGGATGCAAGTTTGGGCTCTACAATATGAGATGTGAGTGCCCCAAGCAATGTCTTTAAACCCCTGAACCTATTACTGTATCATATTGATCTACGTTCAAGTTTAAATTTAACTGCCAGTTTTCAGAGGATGCAGGGGAGAGATGATCACTTAAGTGCACTAAAATGAATGGCTACAGCATAAAATTTTAATGTTCAATACCACAGGACTTATATTTCTGGCTATGGTGGAAGTAAGCGACTCTATACTTTCTAGTTATACTAGAAACCTGTTATGGGTCAAGTAGGACTCCTGTTGCCCTAAAACTCATGCAGCGATTTCAACTCAGGTGGCTTAATGTTAATGGTTAATTAAGGAGGGGGACTTGATCTAACAGTTGTGTCTCACAGGTGGGTAGTTTCTCGATCACTTGGGTGTGCCCTCAGAGGGTTCCTTTTGTGAGAGGTCTATTTCGTTTAGTTTTGCCTGCTTCTCTCTCTTGTCCTGACTCACCAATACTGCCGTATCTATACTCCACTAGCTGCTGGACTACAGGGCCACCTGATCTTGCAACCTCCTCTGTAAGCATAAATAAAGCTACCCTTTCCCAAAGAAGCTACTCTGAGACTAAAACAAAATGGGGTGGTCTTTACAACTGCCTTGAAGAACAACGTAGAGTGTAGGGAGAATTCTGAAGGACAAAGGATTCACTGTATTTCAAAAAAAAAGGAAAAACTGTCAGAGATCAGAACGGAGAGGCCAAGATAAGAGGAAACTACAGGGCAAATTTTTCCCAAGAGGAGAAAGTTATGAAGAAAAGGAACCACACAAACCTTCACGAGATCCTCTTGTCTGCTAGTCAATACTTAGCAGTGTACGTACTTGGGGAGTTTACCCCAGGAGTTAAGATGAGGATCTTGGGCCCAGCAGTGTGGCCTAGCAGCTAAAGTCCTTGCCTTGAACACATTGGGATTCCATATGGGTGCCGGTTCTAATCCCGGCAGCTCCACTTCCCATCCAGCTCCCTGCCTGTGGCCTGGGAAAGCAGTCAAGGATGGCCCAAAGCTTTGGGATCCTGCACCCATGTGGGAGACCTGGAAGAGGTTCCTGGTTCCCAGCTTCAGATCGGCATAGCACTGGCCGTTGCGCTCACTTGGGGAGTGAATCATTGGACGGAAGATTTTCCTCTCTGTCTCTCCTCCCTGTATATCTGACTTTGCAATGAAAATAAATAAATCTTAAAAAAAAAAAAAAAAAAAAAGATGAGGATCTTAACAGTTCAATATCACAACGTCTGGGTTCTTTCCTAAAGGCTTTACGTAAAGAAATGCGCTGCCCACATCTTGGCTTCAGACGTCCAGCCCAGAACTGTGAGAGTAAATTGCTGTTTTAAACCATCCAATTTGTGGTAGTTTTTAATGTCAACTCTGGGAAAACAACATAGCTGACTATCATTTTTTTAAAAAAGTAATAAAAAGTTTGGAAAGAACAATATGGCCCCTTCATTTCGAACAGGCCCCACAATTTCTTCTGTCCTATACTGAACCCACTCAAACCCTTTTTCCCCATCTGTTAAAACTACTTAGCTTACAGGGCTGGTGCTGCGGCATACTGGATAAAGCTGATGCGTGCCAGTTCAAATCCCAGCTGTACTACTTTTGATCCAGGTTCCTGCTAATGTGCAGAGATGGCTCAAGTGCTTGGACCCCTGTACCAAGGAGATCTGGAAGAAGCTGGCTTTGGATGGCCCCAGCTCAGCTTTGCAGCCATCTGGGGAGTGAATCAGTGGACAGAAAGTTCCGGACTCCCTCTTTCTCTCCGTAACCCTACCTTTAAAGACAAAACTGCCCAGGGAAGGTTTCAAACAGCCTTAGTTCTGTCAAATCCAGGTGCTCCAATTCTCATACTTGGTTTTACCTGACCTGTTTGCAGCATCTGAGAGATGAACAAACCTTTCTAACACATTTGCTTCCCTTGTTTTGCGCATGCCTCACTGTTTCGGATTTTCTTTCACCTTCAGTCACTACTTCCCTCATAGTTCACACCTGTAAGTTTAGCTCAAGGCCTGATACCTAACAATTTGTTATTTGAACTCCCAAGATTTCCTTGTGCTGAATTTTTTGCTCCAGTATATAAGGTTTTAAGACGCATTAACTAGTTCATTTATTAATTTATTTTTTCTCTGTCCCAACTAGAAAACTCCATAAAGGTAAAGATTCTTTATTTAAAATATATAGAGAGAGGAGGAGAGAGAGGATCATCTTCTGTCCAATGATTCACTCCCCAAGTGAGCGCAACGGCCGATGCTATGCCGACCCGAAGCCAGGGGCCAGGAACTTCTTCAGAGTATTCCACACGGGTGCAGGGTCCCAAAGCTTTGGGCCGTCCTTGACTGCTTTCCCAGGCCACAGGCAGGGAGCTGGATGGGAAGTGGAGCTGCTGGGATTAGAACCGGCGCCCATATGGAATCCTGGCGCGTTCAAGGTGAGGACTTTAGCTGCTAGGCCACGACACTGGGCCCAAATTGTGTAATTTTTATGATGTTTACCTAGTTTACATAGTTGATCAAGGTGAGAAGGGTCAAGATCGGGGAAAGACCACTGTTTACACATTTTCTTCTTTGAAGGTAAAGATTTTTGTCTCTTTTAGGGCATTATCAATGCCTTAGCACAGATCTGGCTAACTGTAGAAGTTTAACAAACATTTACTGAGCAAGTGAAGAAAATCAAATCGCTAATAGTAGCCACTCTGTACAAGAAATATTATGTCACATTTCATTTTACCTTCCACAAACTCTGAGTCTCTTCAGAGATCTCTGTGTGTGCATGTGAGCAGTAACAAGTATGAGCTTCAAAGTTAAAGCTGGTAACTACTGAATGGTACCAATTTAACTGGATTATTATTTCCCTAGTTTTAGAATAAAGCCAACTTTGGTACATGCGAGTAGACAATCACTTATTTAGAAATTTTAATGGAAGTTTCTTGCTGTGGCAAAACATTCCATATTACCATATTCAGCATAGGTGAGAACGCATGCTTTCCTCCAAAGTGTTGACAGCAGTACTAATCCTTTCAATTCTTTGAAGTTCTTAAAAAAAAAATTTCATCCAATTCTTTCCACACATGGCTGAAGAGTCACTTAGGAGCTTTGCCCCAAAGTACCTGATCAGAATCTCTACTAAAGAGGATCCAGGAACCTCGCATTTTTTTTAAGCACCCCATAAAACCTTGGTGGTTAGTCCAGTTTGAAAAAATACTTGTTAAATGAACCAAGAGTGGTAGGAGACTCATCCCTCTATCAGACCATGAGGCCCGTGGTTTGGCCATGACCAAGGCTCACTGATACTAACCTTCTTGGACAGAGGAACAATGCTGCTAGGTCGAACAAGCCTCCGTTTCTTACAGCTCAGTACAGGACGTGTTCGAGCTGCCACACAGGTGCCATCCGATGATGAAGAAACCAGATTGAGTCGCTGCTTTTTATGTAATTGTTCCTCAGCATCAGAACTCTCACCTGGTAAGTGGTCTGCCAAGACAGGCTGAAGACTACAGAGGATGGAAAAAGATTCACTTCTCAGAAAACACCACAAAATAAAGTGTATAACACTGGTTCAACCTCTTATATTTGCAAATGTTTAAAAACATAAATATTTCACAGCAGAAGTGGGTCAACACTTGATAAAGACAGCTGATGACACAAGAGTGGGTATGTCAAGTCAGTAAGTAAACTCAAGATCTAGGAAACAAGTTTTGCTTGTGAGAGAAAGTTGCAATTAACGACAGAATAATTTTTCAAATGTTAAAGACCCACTTTAGTTTTCTACTGACATTTCAAAAATTTCAGGGATGGATAAGATTATGTATTTTACTATAATTTTTGAGCCTTCATAATATACATTTACAATATAATCGTTAAGGATCTCATTTGTTCTCAAGTAGAGTAGTTTTATGTACTCTTTACTAATCAATTCTTCCAAGACCTGGGCTAATAGAGATGATTTAGGATAATCGTAATCTCGTATCATTCTCCATGCCCAGGCCAAATTAGGCCCTGTTAAGTAAAAGGGAAATACAAGAACATATTGATTAAAACATATTTGCTATAACCAATAAATTATAATGTTTTTAATTACTGAAGCCAGAGTCAGTCCTTGCTGGAAGTAACAGAGTTCCACTCACTTTTGATAAGTCCACTAAGCATAAGAAGTGGAAGGGATAAAACTCACGTGTTAATAACTCCATTGACAGGTCTCAGTGTACCACATGGCTTGGTAGATGATTCTGAAATATGACCAACAGCAGAGGCACCATGGGCTTCTAGTGGCTGAGAGTCAACCTGAGTGATAAGAGAAGTAAAATACACATCAACATCCCCCAACAAATCACAATGAAGCACCTAAAATTTTTAATGACCAACTTGAAAATATAAACTTGTATGACTGAGGAAAAGGCAAATCAATAAGAGAAGTAGGCTTTTGTGTAGAAGGTAGCAGGGGCGGGGATTCTAAATATTCATCATTTAAAAGAAAAAATTTCTAATTCAGGGAGATTATTTCAGTTACTCTATGGAACAGAAATTAAAAAGTAACACTGACCATCAACTAAGGGCCAAGACAATTATGATGGTCTCAAAAAATTGTTGGAAAACATGTATTCGTGTATCACAAAACTCTGAATGGATTTCAAAATTTTCCCACCAAAATAATTTAAAAAAAGATTTTAGTTTTGATTGAAAGGCAGTGTTACAGAGTGTGAAGGAAAGATCAGAGAGAAAAAGAGAGCTTCAATCTACTGTTAACTTCCCAAACGGATGCAAAGGCTAGAGCTGGGTTGGTCTGAAGCAAGAAGCTGCTTCTGGGTCTTCTATGTGGAGACATGAGTATGAGCAGTTCAAACATTCTCAGCTGCTTTCCTAGACACTGCCTGAGCAGGGAGCTGGGTCAGAAGTGGGGCAGCTAGTACAAGGTGACAGTATGTACGGGATACCAGCACAGAAAGGTATCAGCTTAAGTTGCTTTTGCATTGCTAGTCCCAACAATCTTATTTTTTTTTTAAAGATTTATCTTTATTATTTTTTATTGGAAAGGCGGATATACAGAGAGGAAAGACAGAGAGGAAGATCTTCCGTCCGATGATTCACTCCCCAAGTGAGCGCAACGGCCGATACTAGGCCGATGCAAAGCCAGGAGCCTCTTCCGGGTCTCCCACACGGGTGCAGGGTCCCAAAGCTTTGGGCCGTCCTTGACTGCTTTCCCGGGCCACAGGCAGGGAGCTGGAAGGGAAGCGGGGCTGCCAGGATTAGAACTGGCGCCCCTATGGGATCCCGGGCATGCAAGGCGAGGACTTAACCACTTGCGCCACCACGCCGGGCCCCAACAATCTTATTTTTTAACACCATTTTCCTGCAAACTTTTTGAAGTATCTTTGTAAGAGGAAATCTCAATGCATCTAATTACACAGTAATAATTATTTCTTAAACTAAAATACATTTAAAATATATAATGAAATAAAAGAGATGGAGAGTATGGCAAAGTTTGAACATCAGAATTAAAGACACAGCATTTATTTAAAAGCTTCCACAGGGGCATCTCCTGAGCTATCAGCAATAAAATATGGGTGTGGTTATTCACTGGTTCTAGTCCTTGTGTCCTTATTCTTCACGTGACCCTGGGATGTTTTAAAGTTCTGCTTCCTGTAATGCCTACTGATTTGCTGCAGGGTCAATATTTCGATCTTGAAATTTTACTTCTAATTATTACTAGATTCTTTTTTGACCTTCACTCTCCTAACTAGAAAACAAATAAGCAACCAGCAGACATCCTGGAAGTAGTTCTGGACAAGTACCAAGAAGGGATCAAACTGCCCAAGATCAGACCAAAGAACACAAACAGGTGCTCTGAATGAGGGAGCACCAGAAAACGTTGCAGGCTCCACTAGATACCCTAGTACATAATGTGTAAGGCATCACAAACACTTTTACGACAATTGCATCAGTCAATGCTGTAGAAGCAATGGTAAATTAGGTAGCAGACTCAACTGCCTCAGAATCCCTAAGTACTGCCCTTGCTAGCAATGGCTATACAACTATTTGTATCTTCTGTGAAAATATTTTAATCACTCTTGAACATCTATTCTTCAGGGACAACTCAATATTACTCCAAAAATTATGATCAAAAAGATAATCAATCCACGTAACACTAAACAAGAACCTAAAAATGCTCAACATTTAATACATAGATATAAACTATAATAACCAAATCAGAATATTAAAAGAACCAGTATTTTTCTTTTAAAAAAGATTTTGCATAGGGTTGGTGCAGTGGCACAGTAAGCTAAGCCTCTCCCTGTGGCACAGGCATTCCACATAGGCACCAGTTTGAATGTTGGCTGTTTCATTTCCAATCCAGTATGGCACGGCTGTGAACTTGTAGACATTTGGTGAGAAAAATCAGCATGGGAAAGAATAAGGTCCTTGCTCTCAGTTTAGGAATCGCCCAATTTCAGCTACTGCAGCCATTTGGGAAGTAAACCAGCAGATGGAAGATCTGTCTCTCCTACTCTCCCTGTAAATGCCTTCTCGACAAAAATAGATAAAAAAAAAAAAAAAAATGGGGCCTGGCATAGTAGCCCAGTGGACTAAATCCTTGCCTTACATGCCAGGATCCCATATGGATGCTGGTTTATGTCCCATCTGCTTCATTTCCCATTCAATTTCCTACTTGTGGTCTGGGAAAGCAAGGGAAGATAAGATGGTCCAAAGCCTTGGGATCCTTGTACCCACGTGGGAGACCTGGAAGAAGCAGCTCCTGAGTTTGGATTGGTTCAGCTCTAGCAGTTGTGGTCACTTGGGGAATGAACCAGCAGACAGAACATCTTTCTCCCTGTTATCTATCTTTCCAATAAAAACCGAATGACTAAATAAAAATAACTAATAATAAAACTAATAACTTTTTTTAAAAAAAGTTATTTTTTCTACATGGGCTCCATCAAGAGGCTCCTAGCTTTAACCCCCAGCTGTTGTGGGGGATTATATAGTTATTTATATAGAAATTCACATAATGTACTTAAGAAAAATGGGTAAATTCAAAATGTTTCAAACATAGCTCAGATGATGAAAAAATGTACATACATGAAAAGTGTCAATATTTCAGAATTTTCGGGTAATATTTTTCATTAAATACATGAACAACGGTGGGCATCATGGCACAGAAAGGTAAGCCACCACCTGGGTGGCAGCATCTCGATATGGGTGCTGATTTGAGTCTTGATGCTCCACTTCTGATTCAGCTCCCTACCTGCAGAGGGTGGCTTATGTCCCTAGGTCCCTGCAACCATGTAGGAGACCTAGAAGAAGGTTCAGGTTTGGATCCAGCTCTGGATATTGTACCCACTTAGGGGATGAATCACCACATCTTTCTCCTCCTTTCCCTGCCAATCTGCCTTTCAGATAAAAATAAGTAAACCTCAAAACAAAGAAGCAAACAAGCAAAAAGACTCAGATAATGCCAACCATTTTTCTAAATTTCAGCAAGATTTACTACTCAGGAAATCTCAAAAGGCCTAAACAGCTATGACGGTATGAAAAAAACACTAGAAATAAACAAACAAACAAAAAGAATGTAAGGTTCAGGTGGGAATCAGCCTGGATTTCAGAAGTTCTGGTTTAGATGGTGAAATTTCCTTTTAACATACAAATATGACTGAACATCGTACTGGGATATCAATCTTAAAAATTTCTATTAATTTCACATTCACGTAAAATTTTTACCTTTTAGCATAAAATTACGATAGTAATTGATTTATACAGTACATGTTTCAAAAATATTCTCTGGGCAGTGATTTAAGAGATTTAACTACAAGGACACTTGTGAATATAAAATGATGCCAACCTTAAAAAAAATCTAACTTCAAAAACAAACACCTTTAATATAATATAAAGGCTAAAGAACAATAATATAAAAATCACCAGTGGGCCCAGCGTGGTAAGTCTAGTGGCTAAAGGTTTTACCTTGCATTGCCAGGATCCCACACAGGCACCAGTTCATGTCCCAGCTGTTCCAATTCCCATCCAGCTCCCTAAATGTGGCCTGGGACCCTGCACCCACAGAGGAGCTAAAAAAGCTCCAGGCACCTGGCTTTGGATTGGCTCATCTCTAGCCATTGTAGCCACCTGGGGAGTGAATCAACCAACAGAATATCTTTCTCTGTTTCCTCTTCTCACTTTATATCTGCCTTTCCAACAAAATAAATTAAAAAAGAAAATCACCAGTATTCTCAGGACCCATAGTTGACCATGGTGAAGCAGCCTGTTTTTATTTTCATTCCTAGAAGTGTGTGTGTGTGTGTGTATATATATTTTAAAAGATTTATTTATTTTTATTGGAAAGTCGGATGTACAGAGAGGAAGATCTTCAGTCTGATTATTCACTCCCCAAATGACCGCAATGGCCAGTGCTGCACTGATCCAAAGCCAGGAGCCAGGAGCCAGGAATTTATTTCTGGATCTCCCACATGGGTGAAGGGTCCCAAAGTTTTGGGCCATCCTCGACTGCTTTCCCAGGCCAGGGAGCTGGATGGGAAGTGGAGCTGCCGGGATTAGAACCAGTGCTCATATAGGATCCCGGAGCATTCAAGGCGAGGACCTTAATAATTATGCTATTGTGTTGGGCCCAAAATGTAACCCTGACTTTTAAATTAATAAATATTTTTGAAAAATTACTATGTATAAAGCACTTCCTCAATTATCTATTCTCCACCCTCCATCTTTTATTCGAATAAGAGAAAAATCTTCCATCCACTGGCTCACTCCCCAAATTTCTGCAATGGTTAGGGTTCAGTGGGCCAAAGCCAGGAGCTTCTTCCCGATTTCCTATGTAGGTGCAATAGCCCAAGAATGTGAACTACTGTCTCCTGCTTTCCTGGGCTTTACTAGGGAGCTGGATCAGAAGTGGAATGGCTGGTGACCCTATTACCATTAGTGGAAAGATACAGCAACATCAGGGACACTCTGAATAGACATTGTATCAAGAAGGTTGCAAGAGTCGTGTAGTCAGACAACAGTCACAAAGTATAATTCTAGCAAAAGCACACAAAATAACAGATCAATAATTTTCTACCTGCCAAGGTCACTAAAAGAAAATATCATGAAAGGCTCACAGACTAGAAGCCAAATTCATCAATCTATAAATCTGCTCAGCTAACATTGTCCTGCTTCTAAGAGAAAAAATCACATGTTCAGAAAAATAAATACATCCAAAACCGTTCCATACAAAAATACATGTAGTTCCTAAATAATGCCAGTTTAGCACCCTCCCTGCTAGAGCTCACTCCTTTCAG